AACACATAGGGTACTTATTATGTTTTATTTCGTTCCGCGCAGACCGAGTAGCGGGCGTCAGCTAGTATAATAAATATATGTAACGGCTCTTTAAGTCTCGTCAAAAGTCATAAAGTTGTTATTGAATGCAAAAGTTAACTTTAGTCATCCACATTCGAAAGAAATTATATATTTATACTTTTACATTCGATGTTTTCCGTCGACGTCCAATCTTTTTATTCCATTTTAAACTACCACCAAATTGTCGTAACCAAAGCCGATGTGACTGGTAATTAAATAAATATTGACGAAGATACTTTCGTTTTTATACTCGATTTAAACTTTTTTTTCTTAAATGTAATGATATTTAATGCGAACAAAGAATGTCGGTCAAACATCAACCGACTGACTTTACTCCTTTAAGAATACTTTCTCCAAAAGGGTTTCACTTGGCATTTCACAGTAGCGTGTAGCAAACACTTATCTTGTTTTTGTATTTTATTATTTCAAGTGATAACACCACATTTTTGAGTCAAATACATTGCGATTTAGAAATAACGAGTTCAACAAGGTTATACAAAAATGAATTTGAACAGATTGTTAGAAAAACATCCTGTTTAATTTCAGAACAACACTTAAATTGCTATCGCTATTTACTGTTTCTGAGACCTAAATCTCGTAAACGGAGATTTCTCCGTGGAGATTTGGATTTGGTCTTAGAAACCCTAGATTATATAAATAATTGTAATTTGATCATGTGTTAACCCTTTAACAGTAATAACAAAAGAATAGAATAGACTATTAAATATATAGAAATAAAATAAAGGAAAGATTTGACGAAAATATTCACAATATAACTCTATGTTAACCCATCCACAGTCGAAACATCAAGAAGTAAATGAGTCGGTCTATATTACACGGCCTGATTGAATAAAATTCTATTAAGAAAGACAAGGATACAACCGTTAATGCAACGGAGAGGCATTACGTGATTTGGAACGTAACTGTGCGAACTGACGGCGTTAATCATCACTTTTTTATTTGTAAAAACCGATCTATTTGAAATACCGTGTAATTTTGTAGCTACAAGTACAAATTGCATTGAATCAACAAATAACTTCTCAAGCGAAAGATTTTAACGTTATATAAATTCAAATCGCATAATTTATCACTGTTTAAGTTATCTTTATAAACAAAATAAATTATAAGCGCTTTTTCTAAGTTAAAATGTTTCTTATGAACAAAGTAATTGCCTAAAAAAACACATTGTCAACCCTTTCAAAAATAGACATAAAATAGTTTCATGTTTGGTAGATAGCAGACATTTTGACAATTTAATTTTCTGTGTACTTGACTTTCGCTATTATAATACAATATTTATTGGTAATGTTTAAATTACAAGTCAAAGAGCGATTTACAAAAAAAATAATTGAAAAAATTATTCGTATGTATACAGAGCCCTTTTCACAAGCACTGATTTTTATCTATTTTTCAATGATGTTTTTGATGATGATTGATTGATGATTATTGCTCTGTTCTCTCAAGCAAGATGCAAGAAACTTTGGAACAACTTCAGTCTTAGGTAGAACTCGATGCATTTACTGAGAAAATTACTACACCGAAACCTGTTTATTGCATAGTCCATGTTTTTTACTGAACCCAACTTGCCTCGTCTCGATGCAATTGAAAATAATTACATATGCTATTATAATTTTTTTTTATTATGTTTTTAACATACAAATACACATACTACAACCATTTCATTATATTATCTACGCAACAATTGTGGGCTCCTGATAACCATCTTCTATGTAATAGATCAAATTGTTTGGTTTAAACCTTACAAGAGTTACAAATGAAAACTTTGTATCTCGATCCGGTATTGAGGAACTTAATTCGTACCCTAGCAACTAGATGTTCGAATCCAATCGATTAATGCAATTGATTTTCGTTTTTAATTCCTTTGTTCCGTGAAATTATCAACAAAAATTTGTGGAATCTAAATATCGCTCGTGACAACGTCCGCGCGGGATTAAAAAAAATATTATCCTATGTGTTCCAGACTATGTTCTACATCTATGCCATATTTCAGTAAGATCCATGCAGCTGGTCTGAAGATACCTATCAAACATCCATCCGTTTATCCAAACGTTTGCATTTATAATATGAGTAAGATTTACCTTCCTCGTTTTAAGATGTTCGAGGTTATGTTCTACTATGTTTGTATTTAGATTTTTTAACTCATAAAACAGGACTACAACAATGTTACAATACAGAAATACATTTAAACCATAACTTATAATCAATCTGCCTTTTTAAAACTGTCCTGATATATGGACATCAATGTTTACTGATGATCCAGTATCAAACACATTCGAGCTGTAATTTTCACATGGTCTTGCAATTAGTATACGTATGCAGAAAATGACGAGCGATCGAGATGTGCCGGTGAAAGCCGGAGTACCTATTACGAATTGAAGACCAATTTTAAAAGAAAATAACCGAAAGTCGTAACTCTGATGCTCAATTAAACTCGAAATTTTTAGACAAAGAAATTTCATTGAGATACAGAACAATGCTATCGATTTATACATTATATAATATATAAATGAAGTAACTACTAAGATAAGTTTAACGAAAGTAACTCTCGCTACGTAATTTACACTTATTTTTTTTTTATAATTGAATCTTTATCTGATATCTGTTAAATGAAAACCAATTTAATTCTATTATTCCAAAATGTCACTAATACAAAGATTTAGTTAAGATTTAATTCCGGATTCAATCTAATATTTAATAGTTTATGTTATGTAAAACATTGTAATGTTTTATTGTTATTGCCAAAACTGACGCCCTAGACTTCGTTCGCGCAAAACTAAAAAAATAAATAAATACTCTATGTGTTCTTCCAGATGTTCTACATCTATGCAAAATTTCAGCAATATCCATAGACTTGTGGAGATACCTTCTAACAAACATTTGCATTTATAATATTAGTAAGATTAATTCTACCATCATATTAATAAAGCTGCTGTATAACAGTCCCTTGTTTATTGTCACAAAATACCTTATGTTCAAATCCTATTTCTATTTGCGGCTAGTTTAACCTAGATCTTTGGTTACCTTAAGTACTAATCCTCCTTTCTCTTCGAATCCGCAATACTGATACCACAAACTTTCTAACAATAATGCGTACTGATTAATTAAACTCGATTCATATCGATATTACATCGAACGTTTTGCGAAAGTGTGAATTGTAGTGAACATTTGTCTTAGTTCATGATACGGCTCATTTCAACTTCACGAATGTATATTGAACGAATCGCAAATACACCATCGTATTATATTTGCCAATCGAGCTTATGGAATGCGGTGAATAAATTTTTATTATAACGCAGTGATTTGGATATTTTTTTGTTGTAAAAGGCATTACAGATTTTAATGTTTTTATTTTTTAACACACGATAGGATTATTAAATTAAAAGATTGTGTTCTTCCAGACAGACTGTGCTCTACACTACATCCATACCAAATGTCATCGAGATCCGTTGAGCCGTTCTGGAGATATCTTTTAACAAACACCCATTCATATATCTAAACACTATCTATTATATAATGTTAGTAAGATATCTTACGATACGTATCGTAAGTAGAAATATAACTAAATAGTACATAAAGAGTTACATCTTTAATGAGATCTAACATATGACACGTTATAACGCCGAAATCTTACTAATATTATAAATGCGAATGTCTGGATGGATAGATGTTTGTTAAAAGGTATCTCCAGAACGGCTGCTTGGTTGCTGAAATTTCGCATAGACATTACTGTGATTACTGCTATTTTTTCAATTCCACGCGGAGTCGCGGGCGACTGCTAGTATATCAAAAGACAAAAGACACGTTATAACAGAAACATTTTTAACGTTTTGCCTACGTAATGTCACAGTAGCCCTTAATGTAATAAAATAATATTACTTTCCCATCATCGTAGTTTTTCTCTTGTGTTGAGCAACATGCAAATGAGTTTAACGGCTGCTGTCGTTCAATTTACAAGATAATTGCTTAGTTTTTTGTTTGACTTTAGTTAATGGTGTTCATTGTTGCTTCCTTTTTGTATTGTAAAGAATATAATGGAGTTTATGAGATATTCATGCATTCCCTTTTGTTGCAGTTGTTCTAAACTTCGTCATAATTCGTCATAAGTCTGAATTTCTACTAACAATAGTTTAACTGTGGTAGAGCTCGCCATTTTATTGCACGAATGGGCCAACAAATACATCACACAGAAGACAGGCGTGAAGTGGAAGCAAATACGCGTTTCGTAGAATGAGTTTGCCGTAGACCTAATTTTAGTTATATTTCCCTTCTCACCTTGAATGAGAAAGGGAATTAGATTTGACTTAGGACACATAGGTACAAGAAATATCTGCTTTCAGTACGTCCCCTCCTCCGTCGGTTAAAGGCAGACATGTGCAAACGTGCTTAGAAACACCAATATTATTGTGAAAATAATTTGCCAAATTTCTACAAAATAAAAAATATTTTTTGATATGCCAACAAATAAATTCAACTGTGACTTCTAGACAAAGTCTATTTCGGTATGAATATTTCACCTGTTATATATAAAGTTTTTATTAAATTTATGAAATATATTACATACATTGAATTATTTTACACTGCAGCTTTAATTTTCAAAGAAAAAGATAAAAAAACCTGTTAAGAGCTTTTATAACAATTTTAATCAGTGGTAAACTTTTTCTTCTGCTCCGCGGATTTGCACATAGCTTGAAAATTTGTAATTAAAATTTCCTTCACTCGGCATAACATTTTGATATCATTCGGTACTGTAATTTTAATTTTAGTAAAAGCCAAGGGTTATCTTCTATACTATTTTAGTAAAATATTTGTCTGTGTTTCTTTTCTAATTTTCTAATGTACCAGCGTCTAATGTTTCTATGACCTAAAAATCATAATCATACAAGGTGTGTTTAATTATTTTTAAATATAAAATAACATACCTCTTTTTTAGTCTGTTCATTGATCTTGACGTGTGTCTGCGGCGGCTTGTCCCGTAGGGGTAAGTAACCTTCGCGGCTGTCGGGTTCTTCCGCCAGCGTACTGTCCACTAAGGTGGTCGACTCTGTGCCAGTACTAGCCGTTCCTGTTTCAGATCGACTTTCAGTGGTACTAAACGTAGGCGTGACTTTAACATTTTCGGCGGTCGTGCCGGCCGTATCAAATACTGCAACCGTCTCAGTGCTGTCGCTCTCCGTGTTCAAAGTTGATTCTGTTTCCACAGTATCCGTAGCTGTAGTCCGAATCAACGGCCGGATGGTATAGTGCTTTGTTGGTCTAGCGGTGGTCGTCGTAACCACCACCTGGATCGGAGCTTGAGTCACATTGTTGGACATAACAGGCGGCGTGGTCTTTGATTCAGGTGATATTTCCGTATCGACAGTTTTATGTGCGTTTTTCTTAGTTTTAAGGGATGCGGTTATGCGAGTTGGTGATGCGGTTATTTTAGATTTGCTACCAGATTTACGACTCAGGGTAGTGGGATGTTCCTGATTCCCCGTAGTCAACGTGTCGGCGATGGTCGTATACATTTTGGGCGGCGAACGATCGGCCGGGGGATCGAGATTGGAATTCTTCGGTGTTCGGGAAGGTGGGAAAAAATAATCCATGACTGAAGGTGATCGGTTACTGTTACTGGGCAACCATGACCATGGGTTGAAATCTAGGATTCGGGGTCGCGATAGATCGTCTGTGGCGTCGGCGGCTACGATGGCGAGGGCGGCGAGCGCGAGCGCGAGCACGGGCAACAGGGGGCGTGTCATGGCGCGACGTGCGCGTGCGGCCGCGGCGACGATCCGAGCGGGACTACTCGAGCGCAGCGCCACCGCACCAGCTCACCACCGTTCACCACTGTTCGTCGCCATTCCGCCCTGTGGCGCAGGCGCAGGCTTCGTAAAGGAAAGTACCTTATTCATTACAAGGCACTGTGGCTAAGTCTCGCTACTTTTCCCCATTGCGGAGGCGACATTGTTCACTTCATGCGTCGTTAACTTATTTTGCATGCATTGTTATATGACATGTTTTTATTAAATGTCATTTAGAATTATCTGTAAATCGGTCGATGTCTTGTAGATTGGTTGTCTTTATGTCTATTGATTTGTCCTATATTTGTGTTTTCAGTGGATCGCATTACCGCTATTCAATCAGCCGATGAAATTTTTCGAGCGTTAACACTGATTCACGTTTGTCACCAGAAATTTATTAAGAAGCGCGCTATGATCCACCGCAAACCGTGTAATATTCGTGGCCAGATTACTTCTACACGCTCTATTTGTAATCTATATTTACTAAACCTTTATAAAAAAAAGCTATGAGCATTTCTATAGTGTTTGTTACGTTTGTTATTATTGTATGAAACCAATTTGTCTGGTATATACCATCAAAATTTCTTTAAAGTTAAATTCGATACTTTTTCTACGACCTAAATATTAATATATTTCTTGCCATAATGAAAACAAACTTCGTATTTTCTCTGAAACACTTTGCTGTTTGTAAATACAACATTAATTATGTAAAATAATTTACATTCACCTTTTTAAAGCTTTACGAAAGTTACCAAAATAAATAAATAAATCTTTATTGAACCAAAAAGCGAATAAAGTATTTACAGTGACCATATATAAAAAAAAACATATAAATGCAATTTCATGTATGGTAGCAACTTTTATAAGTTACCAGTAAATGTATGCAGACACTGTTATAGGAATTTTGTTGATTCTTCAAGTAATAAATCTATAAATTTTTCTCCAAGATAATTTGTCATCACAATATAAGTAGTCTGCCTTCACATAACTTTTAACAAGAGTTATATTTTATATCGCTTGTTAAAAAAGTGACCAATTTAAAGTTACAATCTATGCTTCTTTATAAAGTGACAACTACGAGTATATCATATGAAAATTATTTTAATTTTTTCTAGTTAATCTTTTATTCGGAATTTCTATCCTAGTAAACTTTATACTAGTTTAGTTTAAATGGATACAAGAATTAGTCGTAATGGGTACATAAATAAGTTGCTATGACTAATGCTAGTTAGCAACTAGTGGTCTCCCCCGACTCCTTCAGCGCAGGATTTAAAAAACCTTACCTACAATATAACTGCATGCATTAGCTACCTTCCTGTTTAAGTCCCGTTTAAATCGATCCAGCCGTTCGGGAAACGGAGCAAATGCTCTCTTGTGGACAGACATACAGACAAATATATTAAAAATTGGTTTTTCGTTAACCAGACAAATATATCACGTCTACGAAATATAACTTTTAGATACATCATAAAGACAATTTTATTAATAAATCTGACACAATTTTGTTGCCCTGTCGATTGCTGATATATTTTTCTACAAGTATTTGTGAGTTAATGTACAAGTAACAGACATTTTATAGACGGTTCATGTATTCCATTCAAAGCGTGGTCTCCATTCATATCGGTATCATTTGCATAAGATGCAGAGCTCACTTTCTAGATGGCGGATGTGACTCCTTTCAACGTGAGACACATTTCTACAATTGATTTAAGGAAATGTTACAATTTTTTGAATGAATTCGTTTTATTGCTGTCTTCTTTTTCTTTTTTTAGATTTTTGGATAGACTATACTATTTCGAAAGGAATTATATTTACGGAATAATTGTTCTATAAATTGATTCATGCAATTTCTTTAACTTTTATTAGTTAATAGCCTAATGGTTAAGGGTACATTCATACGGATTTCCGATCGTGTGGTCGGGAGTTCGAAGCCCGCCATTCGATTACTGTCGTAAACTATGTCCTAGTACAAGGATAAAGCTTAGTTGGAATGGTACAAGTAAATTAACAGAAATCTACTAATATTTTAATTTATCAGATTTTTTTCCCTGCATGGATTTATTTGAGTTCTAATTACTATGTTTATTTATTAAATATGTTATTATTTTACGCAACGATTGATTATAACCAAAATAGTCAATTGACCTCAAAACGTTGTTGTTATGTTGCTATGTTACTGGCAACTTTCAATAAAATTAGTCAGCATATAAAGAAAAAAGATGACACATTCTAAGCGAAAAATAAACACATGAAATGATAATGTCGTTGTTTGGAAATATCAATATAATGATACTTACAAATTGGTCATTATACAATCATTTTTTTTAATATTATAAGTTGGCAAACGTGCATTCGGCCATCTGATTCGCCGAATTAGCGAAGCGACCGCTTCCTAGGGTCATCTGCAATTGGAAATGGAGGAGGAGACAGACATAAAGAGGATATTTCTCCTTCCTATACGTCCCTTCTTCCGCCAAATCTCTTCCCCTTCCAATCAATACTGTTATACGATAAATTTTGTTAAGTCTTCTTTTAACCAGATTTAATTTTTTTTAAAACTTAAAAAGAAAGTGATAAATGTACATAAAAATGCAGTACCAGTAACAGTATTTAAATGTTATGCAAAAATAATTGTTACTGTATAACATCTATACTAATACTATAAAGCGCAAGAGTTTGTTTATACACGCCAATATCAGGAACTACTGGTCCGATTTGAAAAAATCTTTTTTTGTTGGATAGTCTGTTTATAGAGGAAGGCTTTAGGCTTTATAACATTACGCTGCGACCAATACTTTTTTTTAATTCCGCGCGGACGGAGTCGCGGCCGACAGCTAGTCGTAGATAATTTCGCTTCCGCGTGGATGACGGTGTACATTATTAAAATAACATTAGTAGAGCAAACTGTTGCTTCACGGAAACCTTCTTTAAACATAATACCTTTATACGTCGGAAATACTAAATGACAGAGAAAATACTAAACCCTGGGTTTTTGTTTGAATATGCGCGGAAATTATATTGCTATGGTTTTTAATGTAGAAATTTATACGGCTAACCTTTTATTAAATGTTTATTATTACCATAATATAAAAGGTTTTATTTAAAAAAAAACTAGTGTTAAGTTGAAAAATCACCAAAGAAAGTTACAATAAATCTATCGAGGTTTATCATGATTTATATTAATTTTACTGGAATTAAATAAACGATGATAGAATGATGTTACTTAATACAATATCGATTAAATGAACTTATCTTCGAAAACAAAAACTTTTCTATTAAGAATTATTTGAATTCGGAAACTTTATCTTAACACATTAGTGACAATCAATGAGTAATATTAGGAGTCCATTACGTCTTAAAATAAGAGACCACTAAACATAACCCTAACGTTCTTAATTAAAATTTGAGTTTTGTTTGTAGAATGTAGAATACAGTCGAACCTAGATAAGCAAGAGTCCAAGTGATCGTGATATTTTTCTCACTCATCGGCCCGCACCGGACGCACCGCACGCATTGATGTGATGCGGGCGACGCGGATTTATCCGTTGCTAGCCGTGCGTGCGGTGCGTCCAGCGCGGGCAAATGGATCCGTACCTGAGAGGTTTCTTTCTAACCAGGCAATGATTCTCGCCCATAGAAGTTTTCGCTTATGATTTTAAAATAAAATACATTAACCAGTAACTTCCAATTCGTATCGTGACAATGTCACTAAGACCGTTAGTTTGTTAAAAACTAAAATGATTCGTGTCCAATAATTTTGTTGAAATCACGAATTACGTTATTAGCACAAAATTGGTCCAATCAAAGTATAAGTCAGGGGTTGACAACATTTCGATTGTTTCTGTCTAGTCTCGGAAATTAAATATACTTTTACAAAACCAATAATATACTGTATTAAATGTAGCCTAGCTTATAAGTCAAGTAAAATATAGGGTTCTAATGATGGAAATATTTTTTAAATTAACCAAGTAGTTTTTGAGTTTATTCTCTAAAAACATACAAATATTCAATTATCTTCCCTTTATATTTGTGTACACTCCCTTACTTCCCGATAACAATATATTAGTTTAATTACTAGATTCCAGAAGTCAAAATACATTGTTAGAAGAAATTATACGGTAGTACAAAAAGTTAATGATCCCTGCCATAGAGTTTTCAAACAGTAAAATGTATTGATCCACGACCAAGGCGATGCAGACCTAGATTCTAGCACTTAAAACAATATAAAATCAACTGCTTTTGAGATCAGTCACGAGTTTTCGTCGACGTCAAAATATTAATGCGAGTTAAGTTATTGCAGAATACTTCAAACATTAATTAAAATTCTAAAGATTTCTTTGTTAAAACTTAACTTACATTAAGCTTAATTTTAAATAAAATAATGTATTATATAATCTCTAAACAAATCAACTAGCTGTCGTCCGCGACACTGTCCGCCCTGAATAGACAAAAATAGTAACCTTTATGTTCCTATAGACTATGCTAAATTTTAGCGAGATCCGTTCGACCCTTCTGGAAATATCTTCAAACAAACATTCATCCTTCCATTCATCCAAACATTCGGATTTATAACACTAAAAAGATTATAATATTAGTAAGATAAGATTGTTATCTTTGTTTTATAAAGATAATGATAAGACCATATTTTTTAATAAAAAAAATCCGACTGTTATTAATTTTACTATAATGTTTATTAAAATAAACATATTAATGAAAATGACAGAATATGATATGATATTTCCAACCTAAATCAGTTGGACGGAAATTACGGATTTACATTTCGCAGGTTGACTGCACACTTTTTACAATTCTTCCGCATTCATGCATTTGGAAATAGGATAGTCGGTTTTATTTTTTTTATTCCATCATTGGAGTATAATTTTTGTAATATTAGAATGAATACCAAATTCTGGCTTAGTTTTGTTACTATTGACTAACCTTAATTATTTATTTCACCTAAAGTCATTAAGTAAAGTCACAGACAAAATCTTACTAATATTATAAATGCGAATGTTTGGATGGATGGATGGATGGATGTTTGTTTGTAGGTACCTCCAGAACGGCTGCGTGGATCTCCCTGAATATTGGCATAGATGTAGAACATAGCCTGGAAAAATACATAAGCTAATAATTAAGTTTTTTTAATTCTGCCCGGACGGAGTCGCGAGCGACATGTCGTACTCATCTAAAAGCACGTTTGCATCCCCCTCATTTCTCTGTAAAAAAATGAAATAGCAATATTCTTTTGATATTCATCCCCAGGAATGCAATCAACTTGTGTGAACATTATAAGAAATGTTATAATTTTCTCTTACTCCCACAACATTGGTTCTCGTCCCACAGATCTCACTTTATCCCAGCGATTACAAAGCACTTTACACAGAGTGCAAATTTACGGAACCTATGGATGTTTTTCTTGAATCATTTCTTACTTAAGTGATTAGGCTGTAATCAATGATTGGATACACTGTGACTCGCACGCACAATCGTAAGGTTCGTCCTTATATTGCGGAACGTAATTGGTTACCGGCACAAGTGTAATTGCGATTGCCCCTAGCGACCTTTTATTTATTTATTTCTTATTATAAAAGGACTAGCCGTTCTCCACGATTTACCGCACGGAATGTAAAAAAATAGTTACAAATACAGCCTATGTTACGCGAGGATTGTGCAGCTTGCCAACAGTGAAAGAATTTTTCAAATCGATTCAGTAGTTTCGGAGCCTTTTCATTTTAAACAAATCTTTCCTCTTTATAATAATGTACTATGTACGTTTCACTGTCCTTTTTATTTTAGGGACATGAATCGAATGTGTGCGAATCTGGCAACATCGACTTCAATATTAAAAGTTACTACAAAAAGTTACAATACTTTTAATATAAAAGAACAAATTAAACAATTTAAATATTGATTTCAAAAGTTTATTTTTTTTTCTCAATAATTTAACTTAATTTACACTTAAATATAAAACAAGGAAGACATAGGTACAAACAAACATCAACGTTTATTTTTATATTTACATAAATTACAATAGATACCTGTATCTATACACTTGGAAGAACTCTTCATCAACTCATTTGACAGCCATACTACGCAAATTGTATTCATAACGTTTTCGTATATTGAGTAGTCATTTAAAGGTAAGCGTTCATTGGACGACGCCGGACATACCGCACGCACGGATTAAACTGATTTACTTTGTCTTGATGCAGCGCTATGTAGAATCATATAAAACAATCGAATATCCATTGCGAGCCGTGCGTCCGGCACGGGCTAATGGATACATACCTTTATTTTCAAATAGTATAATTGTGACACAAATACACGGACTGCATAAAGCAGTCAGTACCAAAGCTTCAAGTAACGATCGTTCACGGACCGCTAATTGTAGTCGCCTGTATAAAATACTGTCCGTATGCTAAAGAGTTGTGCCGACTGCTCGAAACAGTCCGTGTATGTCCGCCCTCAATAAGTGTCAAAACATTACCATTCGATATACTTAAAGATATTATATATGGCTTCAATCTATTTAAATAACATATATCATTTTACACTTAACATAATTATGAACATGACTTGGTCTCCGTCGTACAAATGGAAGACTTGAAGCAACAATTGTATCGGTTCCCACTGCCGAGACACGCGAACAAAAAATGTTCTTATACTAGCGTGTCGGCAGTAGAGTCCAACTGTAATATGGCAAGTAAACAATTAAAAAAAAACACAAAATAATTTATGTTAAACGATTGGAATGATCTCTTTACAAATAATATTTACACGATATAACAGAAACAATGAGTTAACGCTAAAATATTTACAATATTTGCATTAATAGTGCGTCTCTATCACTCCATGTCACATGAAAAAATGTTGTAGATAAATATTTAAAAGTAAAAAAAAACATTTAAAACGAAGGAAATCACGTTTTCGAATGAACATCATCCCATATTTACATCGCAATAAACGTTTGAATTCTTGTCAAAGTACATTGTATGTAATATTTTATTTTAATAAATTAATATAAGTTAGTAATTATAAAAATTACACTTCTACTAATTTTAGATACAAGACAATTAATCGGTAATTAATCATGTTACGTTATTATTTAGTTTTCGACAAATATTTTATGGTATTCCACAAGCAGATTGCAAGCTAAACACTACGAAAGCTATTTACTTCCATTATTTCGCTGTCTTTTAAAAGAATTAATTTGTACTAAACAGGCAATGAGCATAACACGACAATGTCACGAGCCCATAGACAAAGTCTCATTCGATTAACAATATCGATAATAGAATCGACAAAATATATGTAATAAATACACGACAAGCTGCTTATCCAGTGTTGTTAGTTCTATACTTTTTTAACTTTTTGTTTAGCACTATCAAATTATACTTTTTTTGTAGCATATCAGGCTTATATAATTTTTAAAAACGAATGCACAAATTAAGTACCTCGTTGGATCACATTGTTATTTAGAAACGTAACCGTTTTAAATTCAATCCTTATCACCTACAAACCTATAGGTATCTAGTGTGGGTTCAGGCATGCAGTACCCGTGGTAGGTGCGGATGTCCTCGGCGGCGTACGTGACCCCGGGGAGCACGCCCGGCTCCGTGTGATGGCGGGGGCACGTGTGCTCGCGGGGGCACTGGCAGATCGTACTTGCGTTCACCTCGTCTATCTGCTCATGACGCCGACGTACACTGAACAACTTGCAAGGCTCTTTTCTCGAACACCGCAATCTCTGTAATTAAAAACAAATACGTGTCATTTAATTGAGTACGGATAAGCAGAGATAGTAAATGGTCTATTTTACTTTCCAAATCCAAATGAAAATAAGTACCATGAAAATTTTGTTTAGAGAGATGTTCTACTATTTTTTTTTTAATTATTTAAAATACTGTTATGACGAAAATCTTTTAGCCATTAACGCCACTTAAAGAGGTCAGAGGTCTTGTCTCAAACTTTTTAGCGGAACTTATTTGAACGTGATAGATAATGAGGCTATTCTCGTGGGTCAGAAAGTTAACGGTGGGTTAGCAACAAGATTTACTTATTTAAAAAGATTGTTAAAAACATGTTTCCTATTTTTTTTTACCATACAAAAAAAAATTAAAAACAATATGATGATGTACGTCGCAATATCAATTTAAATAAAAGTAGCGCCATCTTGTGGTTGATAATGAGATACTTACGCTTAGCGGCGAGCACGCGAATTGATATTGGTTCCCAAGTTCTCCGGTAGCTGTCGTGTACGAGAGTTTCTTGAGTAAATACGTCATAGAGGCTTTCGGGCAATGACAATTGACGATCTGTTGCGTTGCGTTAGTGTCGGGGAAAGAGTATATCGTCCAGGCAGCATCCTTGAAGTATCTACATTTAGGCAATCTCTTTATTGGTTCACACGTCTTGTACAATGTCGTTTTGTCAGATAATGTGTGGTTGTCATCAGCTGATAGCTCACTGGAAATAGAAAAAATATATCTTCTTTATATTTTCAGGATTAACTATAAACATATTTTCATAATGAAACTTAATAAAAAGTTTAGGGTTTTTGATATAATTAATCGCCGGAAGACGTTACACTTTTCTACTATGTACTTCACTAAAAGCTTATTGCAACTATTCATAATACGAGTAACTAAACACTTATCATTCAAAGAACTTTGTTATCTTGTTTTTAGAAATATTATTAATGATTCTATGAATCCTTATGTTTGTTGACTTGATCTCAAATTGTAACTGCGAAAGTAGTTGATTTAGATGTTTGATATAGAGCGTGGCCCAAAATTCAACGATACAACGGTAATGGTTGTATACGCAGATCGATTACTACAAAGGGAAAAATACTAAAAAATATCCAACTCTTTTTGTTTAAAAGTTACATTAATTTTTGTAACTCCGTTGGTCAGCACAACATTTTACATATATAATACATACTATCGCTATTTACGTTAATATTATTATTATTTTAATACTTTATATACCTGGAGCAAGGCTTGTGCCCTAAGCATCGGCATTTCCTCTCTATCCACGGCTGCGTTGCATCGTACAGGTCCGCTTTACTGCACACCTGTCTCGCGCGACATTCAGGCAGATCCTCCTCAGACATCTGTAATATAAAACAAAATAATAAGTACAAAATCTCGTACATACGTCAGAGAAATCATGAATTTTAAGAGACTGATAAATGCTCGATTTTATGACAAATACGTTAAGCTATTTGTAATATGGAGAAAAATCTGAAGCTAATAGTATCGAGTAATTTAACGAACAACTTTTTGTGTTTGGTAAAAAATCTCAATTTAATTTTTTTTTTTATATTTGTTATTTCTTTATAATAATTCATCTCGCGTTGGTTTCAGAGACCAAAATCTCTGTATAAAACATATCGTAATCCCTGTCGTTATCTTTGATAAAACGGAGATGACAATATGTTTTAAACGGGGATATGAGTCTCAGAAACCCACGACTAGCTATTTAATACCTCTCATTAGAAAAATCCATCATCAATATAAGCTCAATGACGTCACAAGTCAATAACATAAACATGTTAAAACAATTAATTACATTTACGAGGAACTTCCCACTAAGTATTGGCTTGCATTCAAAATCGATTTCTATTACAATTCAGCTCGCATCGATGTTTATTTGAACGATACATCATTCGCTGCAGCAGTTAAATTTTACATGCGCACTGATAGTAACATAGTAAATTGTAAAACGAACTCGCCCGTGGGAATATTTCTAGTCTCGTTCGCCTTTACAAGTATAAATATAATAAAAATCTTTACAAGGAGACGTCTAAAGGGGACCGGGAACACGGATATAGGAACATGTGCGTTTACAATCCATTCATGTTTTTTTTTTTAAAGAGAGCATCGGTTGTGCTTCCGACCGGAAGACGCTCCATTTGGCAACCTGCTAACTGTGAGAACAGTTTTTTCTGTTACATTCCTTTGATAGGGTCAGTGCCAGATGTTCTTAAAGCGTAAACTTTGATTTATTAAAAAACTAAATTACAATTTTTGAAACGTAATCGCAAAAGATGATAGAACACATATTATATAACTAGTACATGATTTATATTTAAAATGTTTTAGGTACATAACCGTTTTGTAAACGTTCATAAATGTACATACATAATAGAGTACCTATGAATATAAGAGACATAATATAAATATATTCCTTTTAGTTTTTAGGGATTCTGTTAGATTTGAATTCTAAAAATTCTTCAATAGTACGAAACTTTTTTTCTTTGTTCCGGATATACTTCCTGGTGTTTGTTGCTGTAGATTTCAAAGAAATCTCCAGCGGACCTTTAAACAGGCGGATAGTCCTTTTGTAGTAGACAAATAGTCTCGACTTGTTGTTATTTAAAGTGGATGTTAATTTTATTTCTAAAGAGTTTGCTTCTAATTAAAGTTTACATTCAAAATTAAATCATCTTGATATTTGATATTGAATTGTAAAATAAAATTTGTTTAAATATGGATTTTTGATTGATCAAGTCGTATTGATAACAACTTTTAGCACAAAGCCAATTAAATATTTAAAAGTCGTCCGAGGACGTTGAGGTTGTAAGTTTTTGAAAGGTCCAAGATTGCGTCGATAGCCGGGGGCGACATTAAAGGATTTCATATGCGTCCTTTTCTGAAATGGAAAAGGACGGATGATATGTTAAGTTGTATTTCAGTAGAGTGCAAGTGGGATAGGGTACGTGGATGTTGTCGAGGCGGGGGCGGGGGCCGGAGCGGAGGAGTGGGGAGATCGGGCTGCATCCGGCGTGGACAGGTGGCAGCGCGGGCGCACGCTCCTTGCCTCGCCTCGCCACCGCACCCACTAATCAAATAATTTGTTATTCGTGCGCCTGGCTGACCTTACACAACCTTCTTAAAGCGGCCTATTCATATCCCACGCTGGACTAAGGTCATACGATAACGCTATAAAAAAGAAACCGAAGGCGCGATATGAACATGTTATTTTAATTGTATGTACATTGTTATACGAAATTGTTGCTAAGTAAAGCTGTCGCCCGGGACACCGTCCGCTCAGTAAAAAAAAAACTTAGTAGTCCTATGAATCCTTCCAGACTATATTCTACATGTATGTTAAATTTTGTTGAGATTGATTTAGGCGTTCTGGAGGGACCTTTTAACAAATATCCATCCAAACCGTCACTTTTATATTAGTAAGATTAGGCGAAACGCCTAACTGACTAAAATAGCAAAATTCTTAAGCGGCGTATTCAAAATCTTTGAAGCTTTGGTAGTTTGTGATCAGTTTCATGTAAATATTCTTCTAAATGTTAAGTAATATTCATATTTATTCACCGTTTTTCGTATGACAGCATGTTTTAGTCCTCCCTTACTAAGTAAGAAATGTAACACTGCCCAACCATTAACTTAGGTATTTCGAAATGCGTCTATTCGTGTCCGATTTCTACGACTTCCTGTTTATAACTTAGTAACTACTGTATTATTATTTATATGTTTCATTCAATATTTAATAAGAAACGCTCATTCAAAATTATATTGATTATTATGATATGATTGTTTTTACGTACAAGTATATCGTTAGTATGAACACAAGACAAGTAAAAGACATCCAACATTTGGTTAAAGGTACGGATTTCCGATCACGGGGTCGGGGATTAGAATCCCACCATTCGACTATTGTCCTAAACCATATCCTAGCACAAGCCTAGAGCTTAGTTGAAATGGTAAAAGAAATATTAATAAATATACAAAAAAACTGCTAATATTTTTCAACAGAAAAAAACACATCCTTTTAGTTTAGGTTTTGTTAAAATTTTAATGATGTGTATTAATTTTGTATTGTCATTTCACATATTCTCTTTGAAAGAAGAGAGACAGCTATATGAGAGGACAACAGCGTAATAGGATCCTGAAGTAAGGAAAACAAAAGAGAGATAATTTATCTAAATAATTAGAATCGAAGTGAGTTGTGCGCGGGGCGAGGGGGGATGGGCGAATCGACCGGATGTCGAGTGGCTCATAGGAACACAGGTAGCCGAGAACAAATTACAAATATACGTAATATCTTATCGCCGGAGGCTGCATGTTATTTATTACACCGTAATTATAAGTTACGCCCGAAGCACGGCTCTGGATTTTTTCTTTAAAGTTTTGTTTCGACTTCTTTTATTTCATAAATGTTATTGTAACTATGCCATACGTTAGTATTGGATTACTAGTTCAAACATTATTTCAGGAATTTTATAAATACTTAATAGCATTATTAAATCATATAATTATTTGTAAAAGTTGTTTACGTTTTCGTTAAATCTTCGTAACGTAAGCGTAATGTAAATTGTTTCATACAAAAGATTTCAACGCGTCCAAGCTATCGAGAAACTATTTTGTTCTTTATAATTAATTGTCTACTTATTATATGAGTTTGAATGCGAACTAACAGTGTAATGAAACCCGAAGAATTAAGCTTTAAAAATAACATTATACTTTTGTGCTTTATTCAATATAGAGATTTCATTCTACTTCAAACTCTTGATAAAAAGTGATTCACACATAAAAATTTTTTACATATTTTTTAATTTACAAATAGATGATACAGACTATTCAAAAATGAAGAAAAGGTTTTTAAGGCTTCTCTGTCATATCTTTGAAGCTTAAAAATGACTAAGAATTATTGTATAATAATAATTACAATAACAACAAAATACGACTACAAGAGTCTTTTAAGCGATGTAACTTTCTTCTTCAGGTCGAAATATCGATCTAAATTTAATAAAAAACAAATGTATATATTTAACATAGCCACACATATGTAAGTGCGCACTATCCGTCTCCATTGTAACTACAGTCATCCGGGGCTCCATTCAAGTCGCACGTGGCTCGCTTGAGACGGATGCTGAGCCCCAATTCTATGCCAACATTATTCAAAGTTCAAATATCGAAGACTCGTCTATTCATACACTTTTGTTTATCAGATCATCCGTTTATCGTTCTCCATATTCTACCGCAAAGTAAAAAAAAATAACAAAAATTGTCATATTGTTAATTTATGTGTAGCTTGTTAAACTCGCTTCAATAGCGTCAGTGGCTCAGGGGTCAAGCACTTGATTTGCAATCTGCAGGTCCTGGGTTCGAATCCCGCATATCTCCACATATCTAAGAAGAAATTCAAAGATATGTGTGAAGTCAATCAACCCGCTCTGGGCCAGCGCTGACTATGGCCCAATCACACTTTATTTAGGGTAGGCTCCGAGCCCCTCGGTGGGGACGTATAGTGAGCTGATAATCATTGTTAACCTTACCTTTGTGTATTTTAATTGTGTTTAAAAATATTTGCTACTATATTTACTTACTGTTGGTTTCCGAGACCAAAATTTATGCATCGTCATCTCTGTTATTATCTTTGACAAAACAGGGATAATCATTTGTTTTAAAGGGGAACTTTGGTCTCAGAAATACACGATAAGTCCATTAAACTCCTTGGCAAAGCCTTTGAATAATTACTTATTCTTAGATCTTATTGGCACTAGTTTGTTTCAAATGCTAAGTAAGGTTGACTGTAATGGTTTATTCAACAATGTAAAAGTGTTCTACTTTATTTGAATCTTTCTTGTGTTTAAATTTAATAATCCGTAGGATGCATACATAATTTTTATAATGCACACTGCTTCGCTTTAAATATTCTAAATTTAAAAAAATATTTGTGAGACTTTTTCAAACAATTACCCTGTCCTACTACAACTTTCCAAACATATAAATAACTAGCTATCGCCCCCGACGCGATCCACGTAGCATTAAAAAAACACGATGAGTAGTCTATGTATAAATACATTCGCATTTATAATATTAGTAATTTTAGACATTATTAATTAGAATCCTTTGGCGCGAATGACGTACTTTCGTCACAAAATCCAGTGTCAGAATGCATAGTGAGAGGACATAAATAAAGCTAGTGTTGAGTCAATACACTGCCACATTTTCGGACTTTCTTCCTAACAGTAAGATAGTAAAAAGTAACGAACGTCTTTTGTTTTGTTCGAAAATTTTAAACAAACGTCATTTGTTTGCGTATGTCGATTTTGATTTGGAATGAATTATAGTCGCACGTTAACATTGGATCTCCCCCAGTCTGTCTGTAATGATTTCAATGAGAGAAGATTGAATGATGACACACCCAAACACTTATCTCTTCAAACAAATCTCGAATAAGATGAGTTCAAAAGTAGGTTAGTAACAATACTAAATACAAGTACAATAATAAACTAAGTTTGAATTTTTAGACAAAAAAAATGTCGTAAAATACGGAAATAAGATATTTGCAAGGAAGGAAACCAGAAAAAACCAGTCAAATTGACATACATGATATTTTTGTGCTAATAGTATTTTTTTAATAGAACACATAATATATATATATATATAATATGTAGTACAAATTATCTATATATGTAAGAGTAAGCTGACTCGACTATCAACGCACAGCCAAAACGTCTGGACATTTAGACTTAACATTTTGCATATTACTATGTAGGCGTCCACTAAGAAAGGATTTAACGAAATTCATCCCCTTCTTCTTCTTCTTCTAATGCCTCTCCATTACTGGAGGTTGGCCGTCAGCTTAACGAACCCATCCCTTTCCTGTGCCAAGCGAAAAAGTTGTTTAACGCTGGCAATAGTAGTCCAAATTCATCCCCTAAAGGTCTAAAATGGTATGTATTCAAAGTTTGTATAGAGGAACATTATTAGTTATAAATTAGTTAATTAAAAGCCATGTTTACTTAATAAGTTGTGTTCGTTTTGCATTGGACATACGACTCCCGTTACGTCCGCCGCGGACGTAGGTATCCGTTCCTGCCTTCCTATCGGATATTTACACTACATTAATACCATTCACTATTTACTTTCGCCGGTAAACTAATGCCGGTCATGTTTTCTTTAAATTTTTACAAGAATAGCTATAGCCCGAGACTCCTTCCGTGCGAAATTTAAAAAAAAAACATTATCAGTACCCTATGTGTTCTTCCAGACTATGTTCTATATGTATGCCAAATTTCGCGATTCTGGAGATACCTTCAAACAACCACCCGTCCATCGAAACATTCGCATTATAATATACTAGCTATAGCCAATGACTCCGTCCGCACGGTGTTAAAAAAACATAATTAGTAGCCTATGTGTTCTTCCAGACTGTTTTCTACACCTACGCTAAATTTCAGCAAGATCCATACAGCCTTTCTGGAGAACTTCTAAAAAACAAGCATCCATCCATCTAAACAATTGTATTTATAATATTAGTACGATTTGTCATGTCTATATAATATAAACATATAAAAATTAAACAACTAATTAAAACACTACGGTGACAGGTATTAGATGAATGGATTTAGTTGATCTAGGTACTTACCCAAAAGACAGATAAAACTGATAGTTAAATTTTACGCTTCTTTATTACGTCGTATGCGTGTCGGTTAATTTTGGTTTAGTTAATTACTTTCTTGATTATGTTGGTCATTATTTATATGTCCGTCATTGTAACCGTAATATGTGAATATACAAATAATTTTAGTAGGTTACTAGCTGTCTCCCGCGACTCCGTCTACGCGAAAAAAAATCTTAATTAGTAACCTATATTTTCTTCCAGACTATGTTCTATATTCATACCAAATTTCGTCGAGTACTGTTGAGCCGTGAGATACCTTCAATCAAATATCCATCCATTTAAACATTCGCATTTATATTGATAAGGTTTAAAATGTAAGTGATATAGAAATTGCATGTCTATTATTCATTTGAACACTGACTTGATTTTAAATTCATCAATCAATTTGAGAATGTGATCTCACACTTCTCGTCAGTTATTTCCGGAATCGTACAAAATAGTACTATTGAAAAACATTCTATACCAACGAAATTGTTACCGTTACGAATCGGCTTAAAGATAGAGAAATAAAACGTTTTTTTTAAAGCAAATAACAGACACGGGTCGGGAGCGGGTGAGCGGGGTTCGGCCGTAAGTCATCGAAGCTGTCAAGATAAGAAAGAGTGAATGAACACCTGCCACTACCGGTGTTACACATGCCTACACGGCTTACAACACCGACTTTATAATGCCGTATTTAATCATTACAACACGACTTACGAATTACGTTTCTATATACATAGTATAAAGTCCCTTTTACATTGTAATGCGTGTGTAAAAATAATTTATGTTCCTACGTTATTACGTTTTACGGTTGTTGTGATTATCTTAAAAATTACATAGAAATTGAACGTTGACATGTTTTATTTACTAAAATTTTAATAATAACCTTGAACTTTGTCAAAGCTCTGTACGATAGTTTACAGTAATTTAAGTTAATCTAAAATTACTAGTAAATTGTCTTTAGTCTTGTACATTTGTATTGTAAATAACACTAAATATGGTCAAGTACTGATTTTTAGTCATCTAAGTAAGAGATGTGAAAGCTGAACAGATGAAATAATAATGTAATTTATCTTTATATATATAATTCTTTTGTGAGTTCTGTGAGTGTGTATGTCACTGAACTTCTCTCAAACGACTGGACCGATTTTGATGAAATTTTTTGTGTGTTTAAGGGGATCTGGGAATGGTTTAGATTCACAATTTTCATCAAATATTAACTTCATATTAATTTATTCAAATTAAAGACGTGTAGACAGGACAACGTCTGTCGGGTCCGCTAGTAGTTATATAAAATTCATATTGACATAAGTAGTGTGGTTATAACAAATCGAATCAATTCTAAATAGTGCATACACACTTAGTCGAGTTTAAGCGAAACTCTTCATCTTGATACCAGGATTTTACATAATTTTCGGTATAACATACGTTAATAATTTACTGTCGTAACGTTAATAATCACGAATTCCATCAAGTTACATCCTTAATACATCTTGGCGCCAAAATCTTAATCATTAAAAAAAAAAAAATCTTAAGGAAAAATCAGATTTTCCCTCTAATGACGTAAAATAGTTTCAAATTGAATGTTGTTACAAAAGCGATCTGCATGCAAAAAGGAAATTCTTTGAACTGCAATAACATATATGTTGCATTATGCTAAATCTAAATTTTTTCTAAGTTATCTAGTAACTTACTAAGTTATCGTAATATTAAAAACTCACCCCAATCTGATATAATATCTTGAGTCCGCTTTTCGCCTGCATCGCGGTTCTCCTGTGTGGCAGGAGAGGCAATTTGTCCGGCCTCTTTAAATGTATTTCACCCGAAGGCCTGAACGCCTCAAGTGGCGTTCGGATCACTCCTCGTACTACACCGAGGACAGTCGCCATCAGGAGTGTGGCTAACACTTTCATCACTAACACACTGGTGTTCTTTTGGTCGTTGAGTCGTGTTAGTTGCCGAGTTGGTCGTTGAGTCGTGTTGCGCGGTATGTGATGTGGTGCGCGGGTCGTGTCGTGTGCTCGGGCAAGCTCGGACTGGCGACGGGCCGCGGGCGCGCCGGACCAGGTACGACTTGGCCTACGCGCTCGGTATAACCACCTCGGACTGCGATCGCGACATCTTGATACTTTACAGAAATTTTTCCTTGTTTTTTTGTCTTTGCTTTGAATTGAGGGAAAACGTATTTTAAAAAGTTATTTTTAGTAAAAATTTTTTTTGGATGTAATTCTGATGTTATTTTTATTTAACTCTGTGTACTTTACGACGCAAGAAGCTTTCTATTTAAATACAATTTTATCAATAGTTTTTTTATAGTAAACCAAAAACATATATTTTAATTATTTATGGTTTTACTAGCCAAAACACGATCTTGATTTCAGCATTAAAATTAACACCATGTAAAATAATTTATTATTAAAAATAAAATCCATTCATAACGGTGTTAATATTAAAAAACAGAAAAACATTGCAAGTATCAAAATTATTGGGTTGCGCTCGGGTTGACTTCCTACCGATGGTGTTTTTTACACAATCTTGTTGCTCCGGTGTAAAGCTGCGGGCACAGTCTGCGAGCTCTGCTGCGCTAAAATACATTAAATAAAATAAACTATAAACAACGCGATATATTCAAAACAAAATAACATTCCAATTTAGGATACACATTTAATCTAATTTTATTTTTATAATATATTAACGTGTTTTATTTTCATTGACATTTTCCAAATTCAAATATAAATTATTTAATTACGTACTTTGATCAGTATAAAAAGAAGTACTTAAAGGCTTACATTATAGCTTCAAATCAACACAATGCTGGCAAGTAGCTTTATTCAACAAGACACCCGCAACTCCTTGTATTCAATTGTTTTAAAACAAAACACTGTCATTCAACATTTCGTAGAATAGGATTTTAACCTCCCATTCAAGAGAATTCAAAGAGTTCCCATTGTAACGCGACCTTACTTATGTTCCGTCTCGCTCGCTCCCATTCACCTCCGTCGCGCCCGCATGAATGAACCGCTTCTTATGAATGAATGGACAGTCGCTATCTTACTATAGATACTGGCTGTATATGTACATGTGTTGTTTTGTATCGAGTTATGTTTATCGGGAAATGTACGTAGTGCTGGCCGGGTCGGGCCGGCGCATGCATTATATTTAACACGACACGTGGTCGGTCCACGGCCGCGGCGTATGTCCCCGCATAACTCATTACTTTGCAGTTGCACTTCGCTATTACATTTTAAATACATTTCACATGCAAATAATTATATCTTATACGTATTGCAGCTTTATATATATTTTCAGATTTAGGAAAAAGAACACTAAATGTTGTAGCTACGTAATTTTTGTATCTGTTAACAAAAACCTTCATTTAAATGTAATGTAAATATAACATAGCCTTTGTGTATTCAAAACTTTCTTCTTCGTATCTCAAATGATCATCTTCATTACTTATTTTATCACTTTTATTACTTTTTGTTACCGCAATCAACATTTCCGGATTCAAAAAACTTAAATCCTCTCGATATTTTTATTTAATCTTGCAAAGAGCACAGTGTGCATAGTAAAGTTTACGACGTACTCAAAAATTGAAAGAATGGCAGTGATAAGAAAGCATCATCCCTTCAGTTTGAGGGCATTGTCTTCATTGTGTTACAGACCACTTGAGACTCGAGTGTGCATTTTTTCAACTTCCTATGAAGGGAAAGGAGATAACAGGCACGCGCACTCCAATCTATTGTTATTACTTTGTGTTAAGATATTGTTCTTTACTAAGAAGTGATATATCCGGTTCAATTCTCACAAAAAGATCTAATTATGTTGCATCAAATTACAAAGCACAATATTATTTTATTTCTTCAGAGGGGCTAGATTTGCTACGAAGCAATTCCATAAATAACTTCAAAAATATAGAACTGACCAACACTCGATAAGTCACGTGATTGTCGCACGTCAGTTCTATCCGTTTTTCAAATTCGTTATAGAATCGATTCGAAGCGAATGCTATTTGTCTAACCTCCCTATTTCCCTACGGAGAGTCGGCATAGTATTTATAATTATTCATCTCTATTAGTTATATCTAAACTTCAGTAATATTCGTTTATTCACTAAAAAAATATTAGTAAAAATGTAAAGAATTATCCTTTATCTGTTCGTGAAATCTTCACGGGGTCATCTATTTAAGAACCTTCCTTACTTTAAGCACGAGGAAAATGTAGCCACGTGTAAGGGGTCTTCATTCAGAAGTCTACCAATACTTTGAACTTTGGAACATTTTCAATTTTGCTCATTGTGTTAATATTTTGGCAAAATACTAATTCTAATTAGATTTCTTGTTTTTTTGTTTCTAATTCGAAAATTACTATACAATAGGAGACTGTTTCATATTGTCCATTGTATATTTATGAAAAGTATTTAGTAAAAACCAAGTTTCAATTTTGTAGGCATATGGATTTTGCATTAGAATTACCCTACACAAATATATTTACATAACAAATTGTCATTTAAATCTATATTTAACGTATTCGCTACGTTAATCTTAATTCATTTGAAAATATTTAGGTCGAATTTTTTACTTATTTACCAAGTCTAAAGTTGCAGTTGTCATTGTACACGCGCAGTATAGCTATTTTCGCCCACACGCGAGTATGACCTTCTTCTGAAACATATTTTCAGTATGATAATATTGAAAACGTGTATGTAACTAAAAATAACTTTGTAACTAACGATAACATTATCTCATTTTTTTTATAAAGTCATATTCAATACTAAAATTGTTGTAGGAAAATCTTAAGACTATGCCTTATAACGTTGAAAAATATTTTTTTACTTTAATAAAAATTTCTGATTAATTTGATAGTTGATTAAATATTTATAATCTAACTTTATTATTTCATACTTTGGCATAGCGTAGCATTAATAAAAACCGACATCGTTGTATGACCTGGTGAGTCAAAGCCATAAGCTAAAGTAGCAACGGCTCAGTAGCACCGCTCTGGCAATGAAAGAGTGTCACAAGCTCCTTGTCTATCTTTTATGTCATTTACATATTACAGTTTTGTCAGTCCTGACACGTAACACTAGCTTTTACCAGCTCAGGAAAGCATGTCGCATAATATTTTTAACAAGTAAACATCAATGCGCCATGCAGTCAAGTGACACAATTTGCCGCTCGCTCCGGCGCCAGTTCACCTTGCCGATTGTAACTCATGGCGCAATGGAGATATGCCAACTATAACATTTTTACATCCTACGTATCGATATGAAGGTTTAGTTATGTAGGTAGACTTAAGTAGTACTTATTATATTTCAATTTGAGACTACATGCAGTCGGAATGCCTTGGAATGCCAAACTTAAAGTAACGACCAATGTGTAATGTCAAATAATGTCATAGTGCAGTGCATTTTTAAGATTAGATAGGGGACAGATATTCTTTGACGTCCTAAGAATACTCTATCAAAATTTTTCTAGATTTAGAAACGTATAGGCCACCGAGATATACAGATTTATTCATAATTATAAAAATTGTAAAAAAAAGTTGATTTACGTGTTCTTTGTTTACGCTCTATGTTCTAATAAGTCTTGAAATAGTTGAATTGATGGTTTTCACCATCATGTAGATAATTTGTTCCGTATTGTTTGTGTATATATTTAAAACATTGTATTTCTAAAACCTTAAAAATATTATATCTTGTACAAAATATTTAATAATAATTTTTTTACTGATATAAGGTTTCATACCTCCTCTTGCCATGAGAAAGTTTTTTACATGAACACATAAAAATGTAATTACGTTTTTTTGCTAAATAATGTGTTTATAATAAGATTAGTTGCGTTAGATGATTTAAGTTCCCGTTACAATGCGACATCACTTCTCGTCACCTTTTATGCACACTTATTGCGCAGGAAATGTAAACCATTTCCTCAACTCTTACACCAATCATCTAATTGTCTTCGCTGGAATACTGGATTACAACTGTCGTATATTGTAACTAGGATTAAGGTTGAATAGAGAGTTGCTTCGTAATAAAGATGTTAAATATTGTGTAACAAAAATAAGAAATTCACAGGCGAATATAAAAAAAAAACAATAAGAAAATATTCACAGTAAGATAACAGAGTTATCCTAAGACTGGACAAGTTAATTCGAACAAATATGTTAAAAAAAATATGCGACATGTTACATACGTCGATTATAATTCACACAGCGATCGCGAAAAAGCGGAACTATGGTCATTGGCATGGTGTAGAATCGCGCGCTACGCGAACACCGCGCCGTGGGAACGCGCCTCTTGACACCATACATGTTTTGTCTTTGACTTTTTAGAGACACGACATGTCAAAAGAACGCATTCCACTGCCAAATAAAAACAAACAATAAGTTCTAAACTTGCCTCTGTGCTTGTTTTGTGTTTGTACTTTCTTAAGTCGTGTGTGTTCTTAAAGACTTTTCAGTTTTACTTAACTGTCAGCATGTTCCCAAAAGTAAAGGAATTAGTAAGTACAAGCGGTTTTTTGTTTAGTCCGTTTCTCTATAGTCAAAGTATTTTATAAATACACCACACCCACTTTATAATCTTTTAAATAAACGATTTTAAATCAAAAAACAATAATTTTGGCATTAATTTGGAAACTTAATATCATTAAAGAATTTAATAGACTATTTATACACAAATTTACTAAAAGTAAAGCCTACGAAATGTTTTGACTGACTTTAGATACGTTGAACATTTCATGAAATAAACCTTTTATTTGTTTCAACGTATAAAGGAATTTTCTAATCTCATCAAATTCGCCGACAATAGCTGCGAAATAGTCCGGTATGTGAGGCTGTCATGTGTGCGAGCCGGACGCGACAGTTGCAGAGCTTATTAAAAATGTCCGGGATAGCGGACAGCCGGACGTGCGCGCCTCGGAAGCGGGAGATAACTGCGTTGTTAACGGATAGGTATATAGGCCGCAACGGACCGAATGCCGAGAAAAAACGATGACCGCTGCTCTGCCGATGAGTTGCGAATTTCCGAGTTACATAAATGCATTTCCTCTTATGTTACGTGATTTGTTTGACCCTTTGCGAGGTGTTTAATCTCCCATTTTACTTATTAATGTTACTGGAGTTCCACAGTAAAAACAAATTCAATGAAGTTATTAAAATCTGACGGTAAATCTTCTGTTATAATTTAATTTAACTAATAAAGCCTAGAAAAAAACATGTTCACATTTTTTGGTACGCTAGAGTTAAACAAATTTGTTATGTAGGCTAGTTGAAGCACAAATGTAATGCACAGTTGATTAGAATCCATTGAAAGGAACCATTTCCTTTTGCTTAGTGCACTAACGAGCCTCTCGGAGCGAACGCATTGCCTGTGCTTTTGATAAAAAATATTTCTTGTATTCCTAAGGATTGAGGACATGTATTTTAGTTATAATATTTTGATTTTTTTAATGTATAAAATTAGGGCAAACGCTGACAATTGAGTTTTATAAAATGGTTATTGTATAGGATTAAAAACATGAATGGGTCTCCTTCGTGTGAACACGTTCTTACAGTTCATGTCATTGTAAATCGAAATTGAAATGTAAAATAAAACAATTTAACTTTTAAAAGTAATGTTGAATGAACGGTACCGGAGAGTTTGTGATGACAAATTCCATTCCAGAGCGTTCCTCTTCCAGCTTGAGTCAGACAATGAACGCGTCGTCGCCTGCAACGGGACTCGCGCGCACTACAACCTCTCACTTATTTGTTTTCGTGGAATATAAAAACACGTTAAGGCTCAATGGAATCTCTCAAACCGGATGCTCGCGGCCGCCGGAAGTTCCCCTTTAATCTCAAAATGGCCACGGCGAATGATTTAACAGAGCAAGAATTTTTCTAGTCGACTGACCACTAAATATTTTGTGAAACGATCGCGTGGGGGCAAACTTTTTTGGTCTGTTATTTTTTCACATCCGCGCTGCGACCACGAGTTGCCTCGCCGGCTGTGGTCTTCACTTAACCACTAATTTCACCTCTCTCTTGAATAATTTAGAACATAATTAAGGGACTTTCAACAAATATTTTTTTCTATATATATAAAAGAAAGTCGTGTTAGTTACACTACTTATAACTCAAGAACGGCTTCAAAGATATGGCTGAAAATTGGTGAGGAGGTAGCTTAGAGTCAGGAGACGGACATTGGACACTATTTATTTATTTTTTTCGAATTTATGCCTTGAAGAGCTGCTTTTTATTTAACTTACTAATATTATATAATAAATGCAAATGTTTAGATGGATGCGATGTGGATGGATAGATGGGTGTTTGAAAATATCTCTAAAACGGCTGAACGGATCTTGATAAAATTTGGCATACGTATAGAACATAGTCTGAAAGAACACATAGGAAACACTAATTAAGTTTTTTTTTTATATCCACGCGGACGGAGTCGCGGGCTATAGCTAGTTATTTATATGTATTAAAAATAAAATAAGGTGTATGAAGTTTAGTCTTAAGCCTCTTTAAGGCAAATGATTCATAAATAGTTACGCTATTATTTTTTATGTTAATTATAATTGTGACAGAGGAAGCGTTAAATTTAACACCATAGCATCGAATGCGGAGTAGAATTACAACAAGATCAGCTAATTGACAACACGTGTTAATCAAGCAGTTTGTAATATAAAGTTTTTGTTCAAACAAAATTATGCCAAGTCATTATTTTTCGTTTATAAACAAAGAATAAAATACAATTTATAGAATACTATTATTATTTTTAATTATTAATTTATTTGTAATATATTCGTAATATTAATAAAATTATAGAATACTAAAACATTATGAATAAGGGTCAATATGTTTCTGTGGTCGAAACATATAGTTACACGTGTCACATACAGACACGTGTCTCAGCGGGCATGGTAAACGATTTGTATACTTCTCATTACGTTATTAATAATCTTATGTCGTTCAACACTGAATTACTCTTACTCGTGCCGCTTTCATCCAGTGAACAATCTTTACTTGAAAGATTAAATGCCTCGGCCCTTGTTACGCGCGAGTATTACAAGATTCAAACTTCACAGCTGCATTGCGAGTGTAGGAAAGCTCACCCGCATCACATTCGAAATTGCAAGCCGCAATAGAGTTTGAATGATACTATACCATGCTACGTTGTATTTCTACTAATATTCCATCTATTAATGAGTGTGCACTTAGCTAGCGGCTGTCAAAGACCTAGTCAGAACAAATTAAGCTCCTCGTTAGGCACTTATTAGTATGGGCTGATATAATTTTTGCATGTCTTCAGGGAAGCTGTACGGCGCGCTGGGACGTCGCGGAGGACGCGTGGTAGGTGGTGACCTTCAGAGTGGTTCTGCAGCATTTCGCGTGGCGGCGCTACTGCCCGTCGCGGAGAGCTTTCGGTTTGCTATCGACCTGCGCACGCACACCTCCGGCCTCGCAGCACCGCAACTGCTCTTCAGCCATTGGGAGGTAAAAGAGAAACATAACATCATTGTTTAAAGAAATATTCCAGTTAGTAATGTTTACCGTATCTTTTTTTCACAATATATAAAAAAAGAAATAATCAATGCAATGATTTTAGGTGATCAACATCGATCCGTTCTGGCAGCCACGAACTGAAGAGGAGTACTTACACTGGGGTGAGAAATGGGACGGCGTCAATCGCGCCAAAGCTTACGTAGACATGGTGCGAGCGCGCAAAGGACTCGCCACAGACAGACAGCTCGTCTTACACGCCGAGAAGCAGAGGACGCTCTCCAAGAAGAAATAGCTTGACAATAAACAATACTAGAAGTAATCATTATCTCCTTGTCCTTATTATGTTAGAAGTGGCATATTACTTGCGAAACAATTGGACTATTTTAAACAACATATCACCATCTCAAAGACCGGCATCGCATCTGCAGTTTCTCTGGTATTGCAGATGTCCTTGGGTGTTGATCAACACATAGGATTCCCGCAGCTTTTTGCCGCTTATATATTATATAGCTGTTGCCCTCGACTTTGTTCGCGCGGAATATCAGTGTGAGTGGCATATGTATTCTTCCAGACTATATTCTACATGTGCCAAAGTTCATTAAAATCCGCTTAGCCGTTCCGGAGATACCTTCATACAAACATCCATCAATCCATCCAAAAAAGAACGTTTGTAGCGGAGTTTCCACTGTCATAACATATTTTTAATTCCTTTTCATTATTATTGATAAAAGAAAGACTACGATATGTAGACATTAAATTTGTTTCTTACATACGAACAAAATGTTATCAAGTATTACTTTGAGAAATATTCAAATTGTTTGTTCTATAAGTATTATGTTTTGTTACGCTTCTTTAATCGCTTTGAGATTTAGATGATGACAATTTTGTAGAAATTTGTATGTTTTTAATTATTAATTATATTGTTTAAATGAGTTGAAATTATATTGAATAGTTTTTGTATCGACAGTTTTTTTCTTAACTACATTTTTTTAGAAATTTACGATAAATCGCCAACTACATATACTCTGATGGGTTTCCACTGTCGAAACACATGTTAAAACATTTAAAGCTAGTCATAGGTGAATAAAACAACAATGCGTTATATTAATTATGTATTTACATTATAACAAACAACCCATTTATTGTATTTACAATTTTACTTCTACAACAAATTAAATGTAACAATATTTTTATAAATAATACAATGAAATAAAACATCTGAAAAAAATACAACACATTACATTTTTAATAAACAAAATACGTAGAATAAAATATATTAGTTTTACTAAATACTTGAGGAAAAAAACATCAATTGACTACATTTAAACAATATTGTTACAATTTACACGAAATTCAATAAATAATCGGAATAAACATTTTATAATAACATAATCAATTAGGAAATTAACATATTTCTATCAAAAAAATAAGGAAATAACAGCAAAAGAGAGCTTTAAAATTGGCACAAATTACTATTTTCCTCGTAAAGGTTTCCATCGTCAAAACATAGATGGCGCTGTAATGTATTAAAAATGTAATATAATATAAATTAAATTAAGGAAATAAAAAGTCAGGCTTTTTAATTATTTTTTGTAGACGTTTTTAAATGTTTTGACCCAAAATCTAAGTATTTAGTATCACCAATTTATCTTAACATTTTGCAATATTGACAACTGTCTCGACCAAAGTAATATTTATTATCTTTTAATTTGAATAAATTTTAAAATTACTCAAAACGGAGAAAGAAATCCTTAGATTTTGCAGTTTTATTTTAAAAGTGGCAGGGAATTAAAATTCACAAATACTAAAATAGATAACACTGGATTTTTACTAACCAAAGTCAAATATTCACATATTATTCTTTGAATGTTTAGATGATAAAAATCCACGAAGTACTAACAAGAATAATTTCAAATGCCTTTTTTAACATTGCAATGATTGTAATTTACTTAAAAAATAAAAATATACGTATAAATGATCCGCTATCATAATTTTCTACAGATTAAATATTGTACAAACTTTTCTACATCTAATAATAATTTGTCTTTGGCAATATGATCCGTGAAATGATCACATAACATGTTAATTACGATTTTGGTTAAAATGGTAACGAAATTATTATTTCCAAAACCAAACCATGGTTGTCTAACCATGAGTTCTCATTACCGAAACACCAACATAAGCAAATCATACAAATGTTTCGGTAATGAAAACTCACAAATAAAACTAATCACAAGATCAATATTGCACTAAAATTTCTTTAAAAGCAAATGTAAAATTACAAATATATTACAGTAATGTACATGATTGGTCGATTAACGACCGTAAAACCAACGCGATAAAGTTCAATTTGCTTTAAATGATATTTTAAAACTTTTTACACTTTTAAATTAAGTACATAGCTAATGACACTAACATACATCTTGAGCTTTGCTACAGACTAGAATGATATTATATAATAGGGTATTTTACTAATTACATATAAATTTATATATTTAGGCACAGAAATGTTCTAAAATGGAAATATTTATGTCAATATCTAAGATATAAAATTAAGTTTTAATTTCATGTCTAATTAAAAAATTTTAAAAGGAAATTCGCGTCAAATACGAACATTTTTCGTTCGACAAATATAACCTGTAGCATTCGTTGCGTTATATTTGGCTCGTTCACGTACCGACACGTGTTGCCGGTCCAAAGGTCTGACATACTGACGCTCCCTCTCTCCGGCATGTACTTAACATGTGTACTCGAGACAAACAAACACTACATTTATGCATACACTACATAATCAATCTCAAGCATTTGTTGATAAGGTCTTATATTTTTTTTAATTATTAGTATTTTAGGACAAAAATTAGATCACTGGTTTAAAGAATCCGACTCGAAGGATCAATTTTTAAGTAAAATACCCTATTTTATAAAATTAATTGAACGTCGACAATACAAAATACAATAATATCGTGAAACATACGGCTTCTGTTAAAAACTGAATATATCTACGACACATAGTATGATATTGGCAAGAATTTTAGCACAAATATAGACGTGCTATTTGTTACTGTAATGGTAGCTCACTGGAATAATATTTTGTGATTGTTGAAATATTAACTCTTACTATTTACTAGCACCATAATAATACCGCTGTAACTAAAACGTATAGAAAATAAAGCTGTTTAAGCACTGATCTCTATATATGGATAGGCGATGGAAATTACAACTCTTGCTTCCGATTTTAACATGCCTATTGACCTATCAGAGCTAAAGTGACGAAAATCAAATAGGCACAAAAAATTATACCTTATAGCCAGTCCATTTATAAAGGTCGATGTTTATGACAATTCAAGCATACTCACCACGGATTCGTCTAAAGTTAGAGACAATGTTCTGTCTCTGTCGCACATCTTACAATGCTGTATTTTTGTCTCGCTCACTAACTTCAGACAGACTTCAAGCAAATATTTTATATAAATTTAACTAAACTCAGCACTTTAATTAGCTAATATTTTTTTTCTAGTGCATAAATGAAACAATAAATTGGAATGAATTCAGTTGATTTACTCGCGACGTAAATAAACTTAGATACTTATTTTACAATGAGAATAATAGACACTAGAACAGATTTACACGGTCACCCATCCACCATTTATCCTATATTGTGTTTAACACAAATACTAAATGCCTCAGAGGCACTTTCCTGAGCATTCAGTGCACAGTGACGTCACATCGCACCAAATGCCGAATATCTTTGGGTATTAAAATAAGGACTATATTTTTAAAACTATAACCATTTCCCTCTAATCAAATAAAGGTATTTATGATTTTTAAATAGCTAATGACGAGCGGAATAACAAAAATAAATGCGTATATTTATCGATGTCAGATCCGGGCACGAGATACAAGATTATCAACAGCTTTAGCCTTGTTATTAAATGTGATTCCGACAAATACTAGTAACAACCATTAGAAAGAGACATTACTCAGTTTCATATAGCGTTGTCTCTGTCACACACAGCACGGTACAAGCCAAAATTAACTAATTATCTCTTTCTAGAGGTAGATGCATTTAAAACTGCTTGTTTGACCGTTATTTTGTACTCGTCTGTTTTATTTTTTGACTTAAAGATAATTGAATCACAAAAATCAGTAACCCCGGATCGACTTTCGACTTGAATATAAATCTTATAACTGTACAAGTAACACCACAACAGCATTGGTATGCAACTAAAGTACATAGGACTATGTCCGTGCGGGGCGTGGCTGGGGGCGGGGCTAAGGGCGGGGCCGGGGGGCGGAGAGAGGCGTGCGCTAACTGAATGCGGTGTCGTTGGGCACGTCGTGTCCCATGTCCGTCAGAATCACCCCCGACAGAGTCTCCAGGGACTGTCGCACCTGCAACACAAATATACATAGTTTTAAACTATTTTAACTTAATGAAACAATACTGAAACTAACGTAAGTCAAATAATTCTGCACTTGTATGTCAATAATCATATAATAATTAAATCTCCACTCATTATTTATCTTAAATCTCAACAAGGACGTCGTGAGGATTATAGTACGTTTTAAATAAGAATGCGAATGAAAACGGTCCATATTATGACGTCATAGCTTACAAATCAGCGGCTGACCTTTCAGTAGAAACTATTTAAATTCGATTTTTCGAGTGTATGTACTTTTATAATAGTTTTTAAAATGAAACCGAAGGTATATGTGTGTGTACCCTGGCAAGCAGTAGCAGGTTGGTGGAGAGGAAGGCGTGCAGCTCGTCAGCAGCTCGGCCGTGCAGACGCGAGCGCCAGGCCACCAGCGCCGCGTACAGCTGCCCGCCCGATGCCAGCCGCGCCGGCTCCTGCACAACCCCGCACCATACAACCTTATATACACTCACACACAACATTCTCTCGCCTATATGCACTAGCACTATTTATACAATATTAGCTGTCGCTCATAACTTCGCTTGTGTGCAATTATTATATATAAAAACCGTATTAGTAGCCTTTGTGTTTTCCAGACTACATCTGCATTTTTGTCAAATTTCAGCGAGATACGTTTTGCTGTTCAGGGTATAACTTTAAAAAAATAATCCATTAATCCATCAATCTAAACATTCGCTTTCGCATTTAGTCGTTTTCATTTAAGTTAGTAGAGGTATTACCTCTGCATGAGCCAGTCTGTATGCGAGGTATGCGGCGGAGAGCGCGAGCAGTGCGGCCGCGAAGGCGAGCGCCGCCTGCCAGCCGCGCGCCCCGCCCCGTGCACTCGCGCCGCCCGTCAGCAGCGCCGGCTGGATCACCGCCGCGCCCACACCCACGCCCACCGCCCCGCCCACTCCGCCCACACCACCTGGCACAAACACATCTACTGTTTTATACAAGTACAACTACTAAATACCAACAACTATCATCATTTTAACTTGTTTCTAATGTTCATAACAACGGGTAAATTGCTATTAAAAAATAAAAATCTGATTACTGCTTGTTTACCACATTATACTTTACATAGGGTTAATAAATTATTAAATAGTTATATATCTAGGTAAATTATCGTAATACTATTTATGTATTATTAACCTGAGGTTATGAGGGGGTCTGCGGGGTCCCTCGTGGGCGCGTCCGTTTGATCCGCGCCCACCGAGCTGCTGTCATCCTCGGGCGAGTACTCCGAAGCTTCCAACTCTACTTCCGAAGATCTTAATTCCTGTAACAAAACGTCAAAATCGTTAAAACAACATAGGACAAAGAGGAACTCAGGCACACTCAGATTTTATATAATAAACCGAACTAAGATCCTCAACGAACTTTGTTCAACTCTCGGATTTATCTTTTAAGGAACCTAGAAAATAACAGGCCACAGAAGTCTAGAAAAAATTCATCCTCCATTAACCTATAAAGTCATGACTCTCCATAAGACGGAATCATGATATTTCGAGAGTGCACCTCCAAAGTTAAAGCAGTGTACAGATGTTGCATAGTTCACCTGAGGCGGGGGCACGGCGAGCTCGGGGAGGCGCGCGGCCTTCCACACGTGCGTCATCAGCTTGTACGTGGTGTCGCGCGACAGCAGCGAACCGAACACGTGCCGCTCGTCGCGCGTGCACACGCCCACCGCGTTCGGAATTATGCGCGCCACCTTCTCCTTCGTGATGCGCAACACTGACGTTGTCGGGATCAGCAACTGCACGCAACACTTCGTATTTCAAATTACGTAACCAATTCTAAAATCTAATCCCTCTTTTCCGTAACCCAGAGGATTAGGCAGAGACCAGGGACCTCCATTTGTCGCAGTCCTGACACATCTATCTCGCTTCTTCTACATTCATACATCTATGAATACAAGCATTTTAATTTTGAACTTTAAATTTCCTTCTTTAATCTTATATTAAAGCTCTTAAAGATAGTAACTTAGTCATAATTTTCATCATTACATTGAACACTAAGATAAACGTTCTTTGTCTAATCTCTAAGATAGAAAAAAATGTATTACAAAATAATATATAAATAAAGTTCAACTGCCTCTGTACAAGCAAAATAAAATGCTACGTTATATATTTCGCAATCGCTTGCGCCTCGTCATTTGATAATTTAAATATGTTTTGCTTAAAAACTAATTATTAAATTATGTTATCGAAATATTTGGTGCACAGAGGTTATCGGAATGGCGATATAAATGTTATTTTTATGTAACACAATTTTATATTCATTATTCTACTTGTAATCAATTTAAAGCGTGATCTATTGAAATTTATATCAAAAAAGCTATTGCCTGTAATTCCGTCTGCGCGGAACTAAAAAAAAATAAGTAGCCTATATATTCTATCAGACTAAGTTCTACATCTGTTGACCCGTTCTTTAGATAGCTTCTAACAAGCATCCATCGACCCATCCATCCAATCACATTTATAATATTAGTAAGATTATAATTAAGTCACATAAAGAAAATTGTGGACATTCGCATGTATCCTGTTTATACAAATTTTGATTTAAAATCATGTTGACAATAAGATTAAAATTTGACTTGTACCCTACATTTGAAAGATGCTCACCTTAGTGACATATCCGAACACGTTTGAGTAGAAGGCGAAGTAGTTCTTGGTGATGTAGAGGTGACCTTGAAGCAAGAGATCACCGACTAGAGCGCATGAATAATCTGAAATTATTAATATGCAACCACTGAGAACTTGATTTTAATCGATATTTGTTGGTAATGCACACTTCCAACATTTATAGTCAAAGCTTTATGTCACAAAGAGGAAAAGGCGAATAGTATTTGAAATGATTAATAAGTTTAACAGTTATCCGCTTTATATGAAAAATAATATAATTATAACATTTTAAAAATAGATTAGCATTTGACTTCCTCGGTTATCAACCAATAAACAGACGAGTTGAAGTCTCGCATGGCAACAACGGACGTTGACCATAAGCTGGACTCACAGAATATCAAACGAAGAGGAGGTTCTGCAACGGGTCAATCAAAAACGGGAACTTTTGCAGACCGATACAATCTGATCCAACTCATCTTGATGGAAAAAGTGTTGCGAGTGCCGCCCAACTATTTCGCCTCGCAAGAGACAAGAGAAAATATGGAGAACTGATCGCCGACCTTCGTTAGTCGGAGAGGCACCTCAAGAAGTAGAAGATGGCAACAACAGAAGATAGAATTTGCGAGACTAGATCATATCAGTTAGTTTAGGCTATTATTTGACTACTTACAATTGAGTACACGCTCGTCGGGCCCCACTTGCGGAAAGTGTCGCTGGAACTTCTTTTGTCGCGCTTTGCCGGGCGGTTTGCCGTCCGACGCGCCCGTCGCACCCACCGCACCACGCCCCGCGCCATCCTCCAGCGGTCCGAGCGCCGATACGCGAACCGACGGCGCGGAACCTGACAGCGGCTTCACTACATGCCTGCAATTACTTAATTTTTACTACACTATATTGTGGAGCTATACCCAACAGAAGAATGGCATCAAGTGGTATTTTTATGTTTCTTCTGAATAAAAGGTGTAGTGCAGGCCTCGCACTGTTTCAAAATATTTTTCCCTCATTTGTTATCCACCCTTGTCTTGCAATGCAATTCCCAATGTCTATAAATACTTAATCTTAAGATCATTGTAACAAAGCTATTAGATATTTCATCTGAAATGCTACAAAGAACGACAATCATACTCATAAATAATTATATGTTGTTATATGTCGAAACGTACTGCGCAAGATACGAGAATAACAATGCGAGATAAACGCTTTTTGTAAAGTTACTTGATTTATTTATAATTGTAGATGACGAGAATCTATATGCTATTATAGTGTTTGTTACAACTTACTTTAGCCGAGAAATAAACTTTTATGGACAGTTTTCACTGCCATTTTGCTTGGTTGGTGTAGCTTATTAATGTAATAGGATGGAAGTATTAGAAAGAACAATTCTTATTTGCAAAGACATCGAAAGATATAAACATTAGAACTATAATTGACTATTCGTGGGTTTTCGATACCAAAATCCTCGTTTAAAAACTTTGTTGATTATCATCTCTGTTTTGTCAAAGATACGATATGTGTTACACAGGGGTATTGGTCTCAGAAACCAAAGTTTAGTCGTGAATTACGCCTAAAAAAGCTACATCGCTTCATCATTCGGGAGCTACGATAAAGTTGATTTAAACGATGACGCAATAATTATCTACGTTACAACGAAGTTAGCAGATTTAAGACTTTATTTAATGTTGTCCGTATCTTTATTATGGTTCGCCAGTCCATCAATCTTAGCACATGGTTGGTAAACACAACTCGACATGTTAGTGATAACGGAACGCAATCAAAGTTGTGTTGACAACGATCCTGTTCCATTGTGAGACTACGCGCTTTGGATAAACAGAAAGTGACAGCACTTACTTGTAACAAATTAATGGAAAATTTACTAATATTTCCTCAGTAAAAGATTTAAAAATCAATTATTTATGGTAGCTTATGAATTAAAGAAACTTTATTTACCTGTTACTAATCGTGGTAACTCTAATTATGACTTATTATACAAGATCTAATCTATATCTTATTATTGTCAAACAGGTGTGCACAAAATGAAGATAACATTGTAGTAAACGATAAGTCACCGATGTGAAAATTTAAAAGTAAATACGTTAACTCTTATTTTGGAAAAGTATAAAATGGAGTAAAAAGCGTTTTATAATATATACATTGTCAAATTAGGGGTTAAAACCAACTCTCTCTTATCAATCTGGGGGTTAGACAAAATGCATTCGCTACGAACCGATTCCATAACGAACTTCTACAATGTATGGAGCTGACAGGCGACAATCACTTGACTAATCGGAAGTTTTTGTCAGTTCCATACATTTTTGAAGTGCGTCATGGAATCGCTTCGGGGCGAATGCACTTTGTTTAAACCCCTTTGTTGAAAAAAACCTCAAAGAAAAAAGGAATGGGTCTACAATTAGACCTCCGGAGTCACATTCGTCTAAGAAATTCTTCCACCTTACGCCTATCTTGTCTGGTGGTCCTTGTATACCGACTGATTGATTCTTGCCGCAAACTTAAGTATTTACATTTGAAAAAAAAATTACACACTTCTTGAAGAAGGCGACAACCATTATTCTAAAATCGTAGCACTTATGGAACAAACTAAAATCAACTGACTGAAAATGTTCGCGTTGTCAGGTTATATGCATTTGGGTTGTGTTATTCCCGTTGGAGAGATCGGAAATTTATTCTTTTCCATACATCACAGTCTAAGGTTTGAATATATTTTGTAATCATTCATAAATGCAAGTTCCAGATACATTATAAACATTTACGTAAGTCATCGTATATTAAAGAGGTTAACTGTGCTAGTGACGTATGTATATTTAACTCGAGATTACACTGTATCATAGTTCAATAGGTAATATTTAGCTTACTTATGCGAGTTTTCACTGCACAAAAAATTGTACAGAAATCATTTTTTTCAAGAACGATGGAGACATCTTTCTAACTTTGTTTTTCTACAAATGTTTTAGTAATGCAAACCTATAAATAAAAATATAATATTCTGCCTATCGCCTGCAGCTTAATTCGCGCAGATTTAAAAATATATGTTCTTCCAGCCAGTGTTATATTGCATCTAAACATTCGCATTTATTCGCATACTAGCTGTCGCCCGCGACTCCATCCACGCGGAATTAAAGAAAAACTTAATTAGTAGCCTATTTGTTCATCCAGACTTTGTTATACATCCATGCAAAATTTCAGAGATCCGTTGAACTGTTCTGGAGATACCTTCAAACAAACATGCATCCATCCATTCATCCAAACAATCGCATTTATAATAGTAGTAAGAAGTAAATAGAATCTTCTTCAGTTCATGAAAAAAAAACTGTAAGACAATGACCTGATCCCACTGATTAGGGTCAATTGCTCATATGACCACGACTCTGACCTATCGGTCGAAAACATCGTATACAGAATCTGATTTCAAGACGGAATCTTTATAACACAAGATGACACGAGGAGGAAGTTCATCTTGTAATGTTTATATTTCATAATACTACACTCGTTTGAAGACAATACTACTCTATATAGCATTTGTTTTATTAGCCACACTTAAAGTCAATAAGAATATTTAATCTTACTAATATTATAAATGGGAATGTTTGGATGAATATATGTTTGTTTGTAGGTTTTTCCAGAACGGTTATATCTCGGTGAAATTTGGCATTGATGTAGAACATAGTCTGGAGGAACACATAGCCTACTATTAAAGGTTTTCCTATTCAGTGCGAACTATCTGTCTATTCTAATATTATAAAGAGACTAACTGTCACCCGCGGCTCCGTCCGCGCGGGATTAAAAATAGATGTTGGCCGATTCTCAGACCTACTCAATATGCTCACTAAATTTCGTGAGAATCGGTCAAGCCGTTTCGGAGGAGTATAGGAACGAAACTTGTGACACGAGAATTTTATATATAAGATAATATTTGAATGTCAAACTACTAAACCGATTTGAAAAATTCTTACACTGTTATAAAGTTACACTATCCACGGGTGGTGGCTATGTTTTCCACTAGATTTTTTTAATTCCGTGCGAAGTTGCGGGCAACAACTAGTATAATATAGCTATGTATATGTTTTACATATCATAACAAAACAAACAGATAACATATAAATACGGTAATAAATCTTATGAACTTTAGGTTACATTCTAGAGCATATGTGTACAAGACTCGGCTTATTCTACATTTTAACTCTGAGGCTACAAACAATATACCCCGCTCAGCGCATATTATACTATTATATACTATATTATAAATGCGAATGTTTAGATGGAAGTTTGTTTGACGGCATCTCCAGAACGGCTGGAGAAATCTCGATGAAATTTGGCATATATAGAACATGGTCTGAAAGAACACATAGGCTACTTATTAAGTTTTTTAATTCCGCGCGGTCGGAATCGCGGGTGACAGCCAGTAGGATATTGATAGACAAACATTTCTTACCCATTGGTATCTTGATTCCCACGTAATTTGAAAGATCCTTCGTTGCTCGATTCGTCGGAATATTCGAAAGAAACGTTATCCACCATACTTGTATATTCAAAACACTTAACAATTTAAGTCGCTCGTTGCTTTTATGAATAATAACAAATTGTGAACGTTCAACATTTTATATACACAGCTGACGAATTTATAACGTCACATTTTAAAAGGAAGGTTCTTTAGCATCGGAGTATCGGAGCAAATGCGAATGAATGCAACGAAATCGATTTACGCGTACAATAGCCATAAATGAGGATATGCAGCGTACAGCAATAATGAAGATCAAATAAGGTAGTACAAACCATAATTAAGATTAAACACTGACCTATCTAACAATCTTTTATGCACCTTAATCAAATCAGTTTAAATAAAGGTGATTTAAACTGATTTGATAAAAAAATATTAACCGTGTATTTTAATATATGAAAATGTCACTGTCATTTTGTTTTATAGGGATACAAAAGTATAGAATTTCAATATATAGAATCTAACACTGACTGGTAGAAATTGTATCACAAAAACAACGGCGACCTTCAATGCACATTTCACGCTAAAACACAAACACACGCTCGCTAAACCTGTTGTCCGTTGGATTGTAAATTGTAAGGTTAAGAACACAGACAACGGATAGAAGCACTCGGACCGCGATCTACAACATAACTGTTGATAAACTAACGCGCACACACTTATCGATTGTACATCGAACACAGATTAATTTATCGGCAAAGATAAGATAGGCGGCCGCTAGTCGAGCGTGGCGGATTACACGCTTTTGATATTTCTACGAGCGAGAAATTTGATCAATGCTAAAGCTTTATTTAGAGTTCATCGACCTCGTAGAGCAGTGTAAAGAAGACCGTTAAAACGGGTCATCGTCGCCAACGTCAAATTCGCGAAACATCCGAGCCTCCGCGGACCGCGCGCGAGCAAGCACTGCCACTGTGGCGCACGCGCAGCGCTGCAACCGCGACCGCCCGCCGCCATGTGAACCACGATCATTTATCAACACGCGGTACGGTGAGACAAAACAATTTCCCCGGAAGTTAAACTGATTATTTTTCAATGCTTTCTTGAAAATTGTCCGGCGATATTACTTTCATGGTATATAGTTCAGAAGCTCATAGATTTGCCATAAGTTTTATTAACCAAAAATTTTAAAACAATAGCTCATTTCCGTACATCCTTTTAAATATTTCTCTGCACTTTTGCAGATAGAATACGAATAGAATAAAAGTGGTAACATTAAATATTTGAAATTACTAAAAGATGGTGTAGTTAAATTAAGATAGTATACGTCAAAAACTTCCGCAATGGAAGTGTACACTAAACTTGTCTTAACTTGTACGTGTGTTAGTTATAATGCTATTATAATAATTGTTATGATTTCATTATAAAACAATACAAAGCACTTCCTGTGCCGTTTCTTATAATAAAGAATACAAGAAAAAGAAATAACGTCAATGTCAAAAGCAAACACATTAAACAAGGTTGATTAAAATATTAATAAAATTATAACATTTTTGTACACTGCTGATTCAGTTAAATTAGTTAACATTTCGTAAGACATTATTTTAAACTAAATATAAAACTAACTGTGAGTTTCTGAGATCAAAATCCCCGTTTAAAATATATCATTATCTCTGTTTTTTTCAAAGATAATGACAGGAATTATATGTTTTATACAGAGATTTTCAGAAACCTAAGGTAACAGGCCTCAAAACTAAATTCTGTGTTAAACTGGATAAATGTGTGAACGTGTATTTTATATTCAGTTTCTCCCATTATATTAAAAAAAAATAGAAAAACTTTTTAAAACATTTTACGAAGTACTAACGAAATATATTATACAAAAACTTAGTATTATGTCCATTTTCTTCAGAGGATATTTCGGCAGAGAAACAAAAAAATATTTAGGAAAAGTAAATAATTTATTTATTCTTTTAGATTTTACTTTACCAATCAGTTGTCTTGTAACAGAGAGTATGGAACATTTAGACAGTCCTAATAGTCTAAGGCTCTACATTGATGAGATAATCTAGGAGGTACATAGGGGGTATTATTGTGTTGTTTTTTAATAAATTTACTTTTTTGTTGTCTGTACACGTGCAATTCGCATGAATCGAGGGCGAGTCGGGATCGAGTAAATTATCTATGTTGATTGGACGAATGGGCACAACTCGTCTCGTTTACGTTCGTGACGTGCGTCGATTCTAGCCACTAGTTGAATGGAAACGTGAGATGCCAAGTTATCGGTTAGATACGTGCTTCGTCCGAATCCAATATTCGAACTGTCAGATATATCTAGTGCTTTTTTTTTAATTTATACCATATTTTACTAATATTATAAATGCGAATGTATATATCTTCACTACGGCTACATGGATCTCGCTAAAATTTGGCATAGATTTAGAACGTAGTCTGGAAGAACACATACATAGACTATTAAGTCGTTGGTGAAAGCTAGTTATATTATAACCTCTCTGAACACACTAATAATCTATATTTTTTAATTTGTCGTTATACGCCGTTTTATCGTTAAAAATAATTGAATGTATGTAACACATAGTTTTTTTACTTGTTTTGCGACAATCTGTTGGACCACGTGTTCACTCGTTAGATAGGATATAAAACACATGGCTAATGTTGGCATATGGTTATTTGCGATCGTTTGGCCTTGAATGTCTTGTATCAAGGAAATAGTTGCCAGTTAAAATTGTCCAGATATACAATAAATTACTAAATGGAAAATGTATTACTAAAATTTATTACCAGAATATACAAATATTACTTATAACTGTGAAAGTTTAGATAAATAGATGGAGGGATCGATGTTTGTTAGAAGGTATCTCCGGAGCGTCTAAACCTGGAGAATCTTGATGAAATTTGGGATATGGCATAGTCTGGAAGAACACATAGGCTACATATTAAGTACCATAATCTGCATAAATTATTCAAATAAAATACACCAATACCAATTTAAATAAAATTCTGCGCGAGTCGTTTATCCCGTTGGGTCGATCGAATGGGTAATTAAAATGGGAAAAAATGCGTTATATCATTAAAATTCCCAACGGGAAACACCAATCGTTACACTGAGTTATCGGACAATTTCAGAGGTCCGTTTGACACAAAGTGTATGTTCTCTGTTTCTATCCAAGGTAAGAAAAAAAATTCACATAGTCTTAGTTACACGTACACTGACTTTTTTCCATCATAACAAACATTATATACCTTTGTCATTAATACCTAGTCATTCTTTTTACATTTTACGATATTCGAACTCTTAAAAGGGGGTCGATAAATCATAACATTATTTACTACTTGGCAGTAGAAAGAGGAAGGGCGAGACGAAGTCATCAACGAAATGGATATCCAGTCGTCATTTTTATTACTTCCAATAAAATGCATGCAACATGACACAAAAATAATATATTGCGCCATCGTGATAGCGATAAAACAACACGTAAATAATTAATGCAGTGTAATCCAAAATATATTAATTATTACTATCTTTGATTACAACAATTATCTATATCTACTAGATGTCGATTAACACTCCAATAAAAAAATAGTAGCCTATGTGTTCTTCCAGACTATGTTCTACATCCATGCCAAATTTCATAGAGCCATTCAGCCATTCCGGCGATACCTTCAAACAAACATCCATCCATCTAAACATTCACATTTATTAGTAAGAAGTAAGATTAAATAATGATTATACCCAGTACAAAAACTTGTAAGAGATGCATGGTATATGAAGATTGCGGAAGTTAATTGGCACGCCTTCTACGCTTCTTAAATCGATTTAGGATCGTCTGTTACGGCTTGAATATTACTGTACGTTGCAATTAGCCTTTGATACACAGAACACTAGTGGCATCGTTTGAAATTCAAATACAACGAGCATTATAATAGATAACTTATTATTTATCCAACTGTTGCTACACGTACCACGTTTTTTTTGTCTAATATTCTAGAACAAGTTATATATAAAAATAAAGTCGTATTTTCCCAACACATTTACACAAACTATGGTAGATATGACATTAATATTCATAAGTAATTTTAAAGTTTGAGTAAATGAATCATTTTATTATAATACAAATGGAAAATACTGGTTGACTATAAAATTATTTTAACCAAAAAAAAGAATATATATAAACTTAACTTATTACTACGACCTTGACCTTTGTTTTGTATACGTCAAATGTACTGGTCCCTAGTAAATTAACGTATGCATGGGTAGGAAATAAACGTCCTGCACTGTACCTTAGGCCGTCGTACACATAGTTCATCACCCGTATGACAGCCCAGGCGTTTTGTTCCTGCATGTCATGTTGTGAGGGTGCCATGTTATCACATCACAAAAACAAACAGCTAACACACCGCGTTACATTCGACAAACACGTTTTACCTACATCGCGGTATAATGGCGACTGATTACCAACATCAAACATTAAGCCAATCATATTATCGTAGATTATCTATATTACATTTAGTAATTAAATTCAATATAGGTACAAAGAGCAAGCTATCTTCTATTCCCAGGCTTTCTGTTGTCATACGTTGTCTCTGTTTTGTCAAGTAGAATAAAAAGGACAACAAATGTATCAATAGAAGTGTTAGGGCAGTAGAATTCCACTGTCTGATTATCCTATCCTATCCTATAATTACGCGTTGTATTAACCTATGTTCCTATAATAAATAAGCTAATAATTTAGTTCGCTATAAGCGTTAGATAACATTGTGTTACATGTATTTCGGCAGTGGAATCTCAGTGTAAACTATATAAGAAAATACCTTTAGTTATTGAATTATTAATCAAACTCGAAGTCACATTATCAACGAGCATTGATTATATTTGAATAATTCACCTGTTTTTGCAATAAATATTCCATATGAAGGTGACTTCTAAAAGCGTTAACAAAGACTTTGACAATTTAAGAAGCGCCTAAACACATAATACAAATGCATTCTGTATGTGGTACTTATGAGATCCATCACAACATTTTTTATAGGATATGGTCACGAACAAACAAATTCGCTTAAATTAGTGAAGTGACAGTCCGCATTTGCAGACGTTTTGCCTACTATTAATCGACAGAGGATGCACTCAAAGAGGATACTTCCCCTTCCTATTCGTTTCTACCACTGCCAAACCCACTTCTTCTTCCTTTCGTTATAAGAAATAAGTGGGAAGGGAAATATATGACTAAAACAGGTTTCTGACAAGCACACTTATCAGGCGAAGCGTGGAATGCCTTCCATTTCACGCCTGTCTTCTGTATGGTCGTGGTATTTATGTTTTAGTTAGAAAAACCCAGACCTAAGTAAGTTATGCTATTTACTGCGACATTCTACATCGACTGCTAAGTGAATTAAATATTATAACTATTATAGAATTTGTAGTTAACTGCATAGATTTAATTTGTTACAGTTCTACCAAATGTAAACAAAACATCGGACGTTTGGATTTTTATATAAAAATCTATTACGGAATGTGTTCGAGTAATAATAACCCAGTTCTATATTTTTCCGGCCAGTGAGCGCAATTTAAAACAAAAGCAACATAGCAAACGACTAACAATGTGCACTACATATACCACTAGACCTAGAGAAATATAAAAACAGAAAACAGTAAATTAATCGTTTGTGGTTTGTCAACTAACTAACTAAGGAAGCCAAAAGCGAAGTGGGCCTTGACCTTTTAGAATGAACAATAAATTATCTCCATTCTTATCGACCAGCACCTGAACCTAATCGTGAACTTAGAGTTATAATCCCATCTCTAGGGACAAGGGAGTACGCCCGGGTCGTATAATCTAGTGTTACTATTCTCGTTTATCGGAAAATCAAGCTGAAGATTGGCTACAGACTACTCACTTGTCGTGCTTGTGTGAGGAATGTCTGGGGTGGGGCTCCAGTTGCAGCGGCGTGGCGGGCGCGGAGCGCGGGGCGCCACCCCCGCCGCCCGCCGCGCCTCCAGCGCCCCCAGCGAAGTTCCCGGTTGACCTGAAAGTAACACGCAACTGTTGTAATAACATACATCTGTAATGGACTTCCGCTAGATTTAACAACCGCTTAAATAACGGCTGAACCCAATAATATATATCGAAATATTTTTAAATATATATCTAGCTTACATATATTAGCTTCAAACTTAATCGATCTAAGAATCTTTATAGCAATCATATATCCTTTCGTACTAACACTGTTATTGAGTTCATTCGTAATTATTTTAGTCAGGGACACCTTGGCAATTAAGTTAACTAAGTATATCGTGATTGAGATAAATCAAGATAACAGTGTATCCGAACTACTTAACTACATCTTAGAAAAATTTAATCAATACAGTAAGGTTAACCCTCTTCATTTTATTAAAATTTGGCGACGCCGTTGTTCAAAGTTAAGGTAAACTAAAATATACTTGGCTCCTGGCCACTTTATAATCTGGCGTAGTTAACCTCCAAGAAGTTTTCATCGGCCAAATATACTAATAAGTTATGTCATGGTCGTTTTTGAAAGGTAACTTAAAAACTTGAGGTATTTTAAAACGTTGACTAATGCATAGTAAAAATATTGGCTAGCGTTCGGACAGGTTCTTACAAATTTGAGGACTTTTTTTATTAATTTCATGTTTTTCAAGAACAATATAAAATTTGGGTCCATAATTATTCTGATAATACGTAGATAATCAGAACAGTGGTAGAGCCCGTATTGCGTATGTCTATGGGCAACGGTCACTTCGCTATTTCAGCGATATCAGGTGGCCGCTCGCTCGTTTGCCACCTTATGATATAAAAAAAAGATACTTTTTCATAAGATCCACGATGTCAGCGGATCTACAATGGCAGAGTTGAGTAGTGTATAGCGAACGCGAGGACTAATTCACACGAATTAATATTAATTTAGATCAATTGACGTTTCTGATAAACCTTTATGAATGAAAGAGGAAAAATCTCTCTGTATTGTGGCATTTCCATAAACCATCATACTGTTCTGATGGTACCATAATTGTGCCCTTTCTTATTCTTGATGGACTTTGAATAACACACAAATATACAGACGAATTTCATCAAAAGAATCCGTCTTTTTGAAGTCGGTTTAAAATACAAAAACCAACGACTATGTTTACAAGACAAGTTAAAATCGAATTCTTAATTCTGCGATATGAAAATTGACATGCAAATGAGACATATAAGAGCCGTATATATCATATTATGTTTAAATAAGTCATATAAATACTTTAGTCCTTTTCACAAAACAAAGATTGAATCACGACGAAAACAATAGAAGTTTACTTTTTCTGTAATTATAGTTGCCAGGCGTCCGGATAACACCGGACATGGTAGGCTTTTTGATTGCTTGTCCGGCCAAAATAAACGGCTTTACTCGGCTTTAGTTAGGCATTTTACATTTCGCAAACGAGAGTCACCGAGCGCCTCAATAATTTAGGGTGTCCGGCCAAACTGTCTGGTCGGTCCGGCTTTTCGGTTTGGCGATATGGCTAGCCTGGTTGCATACGAGGGCAGAATAGACCAGTGAAGTGCAGCTATTATGTCATCATACCTTTACCATCATTAATAAAATAGGATCAGTGGTTTAAGCACTTGACTTGTAATCTGAAGGTCCTGGGTTCGACTCCCACCATGTACCAATGTGTTTTTCCTACGAGTACCTCAGTGGGGACATATAGTGAGCTGATGATGAGTTAAATAGCAGTTCAATAGCAGTACCGTGCTGTCTTCCTGCACTACCACATTTTCCTGTCCACGTCTATATCTAGTATTACAGATACGGTCAGTAGTGGTTCGAGTAGTGGCATTTGTCGCGACAGTCGGTGGGCGTAGCGTGGGCGCGAACACTTGTCTATGACGTAGAGTCTCAATGCCAATTGTTTAGACGGCCTAATTATAAATTTATTTATCGTATTTCAAGTCACGTGTATTGCGAGGAAATACAATTTGATAAATTTTTAATCGAATTTGTAATATAATGTATTCCTTAGTTAAATAATACGACAGTATAGTTCGCATATTTTTAAGTCTACGCTATATTGTTAAGAGTAATAGTAATTTTATTTTGAAAAATCTGGTTAGTCTGTCTTAGACCACCAATATGATACTCCATATTAATAAGGACACTTTATAAGTCAAAATCATTCATATTCAATCAACTTTGTGATGTAAACTGGCTTTGAATCTTTGGTGCTACTCAGCATTAATCTAGCGAGTCCTTACTCATGGTACCCTACGATATAAACGACAAAACAAATGCTTGTGTTCTTTGCTGTACGCGCCATGAATAAACATCCTATTTTAACGAAGGTGACATAGTTAAATGAAGCCTATCAACGAAGATCAATCTTTGTTCTCGACAGAAATATAAAGACAATGGAACGACCAAAGATAGAAGACATCATACGATTGACATGGATATCATGAATAGACATCATCACAATCAGCAACCCAAATCATGTTCTTCACATATGAAGACATACCTTCTAACAACTAAACTGTAATAATTTAGAATCTCCATTTCGGCATACCAATTGCTTAGGATAATACGAGTAGATGTGTTCCATAACATTCGAAGCGAAAGCAAAACTTTAACATTTAATGCAACTGGAGTAATGTTTATAAAATAAACTAGTGTGGTTAACTCCCCTTTAACGTTTAAACGTCTTGTTAAACTTTTAGTTGAAACAGTCGCGTCCTTTTAACACGATGTGGATCATAATTTGTGCAACAATTTTAATATTTTCATCACCGCAGTTCATTTGCGCTGTTAGTATTGAGATGAAAGCCAGAAAGAAGATTGGTGTTTATTAACGGCCCCGCGTGTACATATTACAAAATTAGCATCATTAGAAAAGAAACGTTTAGTTAATTGGAGCATGAATGGACAAAGAAGTGAGAGTGGTATGTCAGGACTGTGTCAAATGGTAGACCGTCATCTCTGCCTACCTATTTAGGTTACGAGTTTGATTGTTATATTTATGTACAGAGTATTAATGTCTTTTATACTGGGTCTTTGCCTTTGCCAACATTTCGATGGTTAAAAATTATAACACTGTTTCTTATATATTTGATTTAATATTATGTATTATTTAAACAGGTTTTGTGTTCACCAATGCTTGGCATTGTATTTTGTTTAGCAAGAAATTGGATAAGTTTGCTTATATTATGTTGTTAATTAACTGAGTCGTGCGCTTTAGGTAAATTCGTGCCAGACAGACATAAGGAGAGATTTTCCTTTTAAGAAACCTGTGCATTACTGTTAGACTAAGCCTCAACAATTTTGAAACACATTTAAACTAGATAATATTTAATAAGTTGTCTACTTATTTATCTTTAGACTTTTACTTTTTATTTTTAATACCATAGAATTTATATCTGCTCACGTTAATAATTACTGCGAAAGTTGTGCTTGAGGAAAAGCGTGAGATTTTGATGAATTTCTTAAACAATTGAGTCTTGATGAGAGTGAAATGTTTTATATTACACGTTTATAAAAAATAGCACTTTGTTTTCATGGACAACTTTATAAGACTAAATTTATTATAACTGGTTATTATGAAAAGTGATTGGGTTCTTAAAAATATAACCTCTGAATGAAATCGTATTTTAAATTTAATGAATTGCTTTTCAGAGAGTCGCACCCAGGGACAATGCAAATGAACCAATGTTTGATAGTGATTCAATGTTGGAACAGAAATCTTATGGCCTACATTTTGAGAATAATCCTGATACAATAAAAAACAAAGAACAAGTCGATAACTCTTACGAAGTGGAAAAGAAAATTAGCGATAACGCTAAACAGGTACCTTTAGATTTAAAATTATATGAGCTCTAAATTGCTTTGAGTGGAATGTCAAACAACAGTTAACATTTTTGTGGGTTGTCCTAAAGTTATTATTGAAACTAATCGAAATAATGAGGAGTGTTGGTGGCTCAGTGGTCAAGCACTTGACTTGCAATCTGCAGGTCCTGGGTTCGAATCCCGCCATGTACCAATGTCTTTTTCGATTTCCGATTTTCATATATAAATTTATCCGACGTTCTTACGGTGTAAGGAAAACATCGTGATGCAACCTGCACATATCTGAAAACAAATTCAAAGATATGTGTGAAGTCAACCAACCTGCACTTGGCCAGCGTGGTTGACTATGGCCTAATCACCCTTAACTTAGGGTAGGCTCCGAGCCCCTCGGTGGGGACGAATAGTGAGCTGATGATGATGAATCGAAATAAAGAAGACCTTACAGTAAAATCAAAATTATAGAACAATAGCCATCGGAAGACAGTCCAAACAGAAATACAAAATTATAAAGCAAATAACTTATTCAAAACTTTATATTATTTGTTTTTTTTACATCCAAGTTTATTATGCGAGTTTTTGAACTGCACAAATAAGCCTTAACGTTGATAGCATTATTAAATATTTTATTTTTCAGTCATGTGCTATCGTCGTACTGTCTAATATACAAAATCCGAACATGCATTCCTTACTACGCAAATACAGATACGATTCAAACGGTTAGTAATGCTGGATCTATTACTTTGTATTTTCCCCTAATTAGTTACATACAGTCTGGATAAGCTAGAGTCTAAAGGACCAAGACATCTTTCTCGCATATAGCTATCTCTCTTACCAGAGTTTCTAGCTTATGAAGGTCGCCCATAGGAACCTGTAAATGGCTCTCGCTTATCGAGATTTCTTGCGTATCCAGATTCGATTGTAATTATATTTATTCTGCACTAGGTGTTCTCATTCCAAGCAGCGTAAAATACTTCGTCAAACTACCAAAGGGCGCGCAATCGTCTACAGTGTTGGTACCACTGCATGACAAAGCTTTTTCACCTTTAGGTGGTTTTGTAAGGTAATGTACAATATATTTTCTATCCGCAAAGGATTTAATCAAACTTTTACGCTTCTTATTATTAAAAAAATGTTACTTATATTAAGAATGCGAGATGAATGGATAGATGTTTGTTAGAAGGTAGAAACGACTTAACGGATCTCGATGAAATTTGGCACAGTTGTAGAATATAGTCTGAAAGAACACATAGGCTACTTATTAAGATATTTTTTTTAATCCGCGCGAAAGGAGTCTCGAGCGGCAGCTAGTATGTTTATAAAGCAATTTAATTATGTGGGAGTTGAATTTTTTTTTACAATTATCACTAAAGTGCTACGCTTTTTAATTATTTTTCTTTGTAATAAATAATTGTTTTTTTATAACCAGGTATTACAAAGAAGTTCCACCGATACCCCAGTCTTGGTAAAATAATAAAATTGTGCTCGATATATTTTTTAACAATTTAATATTTAGCACAAATCTGTTATATCCTGTGACAAAAGATACATATAAAAATATATCATTTTCATGAATTGTGTAATTTTATATCAAATGCCGTAGAAATAAAGTTATTTTTAATGTGCCGTTTGTTTTCATTTTTATGACTGAGGATTTGATGTTAGTATTTCTATCCTTTTCACCTCTAGTAAAAAGATAAGGATAGACTAACATCTGTAACTAAGTCTATTATCTGTCCTCACATTTTATTTTATTTTGAACATCTCACGTTAAAGCAAATAAATTTTATTTATAAATTCACGCAACGCCATATTGTCACGTCGTTGGAGCCATTGCTCGTTGCGTAGTTTTAAAAAATATTTTCAACGACTTCTATTTATAATACTTTAAAATAAGTGCCAAATATTCTAGCCAAAATCTTACGATAGTCATAGCAAATCGGACAGACGTGAAGATTTGTTACAAAGTTACTATACGCAAAAATATTAGCTGGGAGTCATTTGTACGTGAACAGATGTACAATCTCACGGACAAATGTCGCGACATTATAAACTTAGATATTTAAAAATTGATAATGCTATAACCTCAAGGTTATCGATTTAAAAAAAAGGAATATTATATTATAAAAATCACTATTATCATTTATCATAAGGAATATGTGCACAAAAGTACCAACAGTGTGTATAATTCGTTTGTTGTAATAAAAATTGTTTTTTTTATATCATAAGGTGGCAAACGAGCGAGCGGCCACCTGAAATCGCTGATATAGCGAAGTGACCGTTTCCCGTTCGACATACGCAATTGCATATGCGTTGCCTACCTTTAATCGACGGAGGAGAGGATGCACAGAAAGAAAATATATTCCCTTTCCTAGTTTCTTTTAATTGGTTATCAGATTTATCAAGTTTTTTTTTGTTTTAAAATAACCTAAAACTTTTTTAGCCAATACTCATTACATAACACGTTAGAATTCAAAACAATGACAAAAAACCGGACTGGCTTGCGTGGAACGCGTGAATGATAAAACATGTTTTTGCACACTCGAGTTGTAACTTTAAATCAGTGATTTGAATTCGTCGCTCACAAAAACGATACCAGACTTCGATCATGACTCCGCATACAATTAGGAATTTCAATAGATGTCGAAAAATCCATGACGTCACAAATTTACGAAACAAAATACAAACTATTTGAGAAGCTCCGTCTTTTTGAAGACGTTACTTTATAAAGGTTAAGAAAAATATTTTGAAAATATTGCGTTATTTACGTTTCACATGATTACAAACGAATTTTCGCAATAATCAGACGAACTGGTGGACAAAATGGATTATTGTTACAATCATATCAGCTCACTATACGTCCCCACCGAGGGGCTCGGAGCCTACCCTAAATCAAGGGTGACTAGGCCATAGTCAACCACGCTGGCCCAATGCGGGTTCGTTGACTTCACACATATTTTTAAATTTCTTCTCAGATATGTGCAGGTTGCATCACGATGTTTTCCGTCACCGTAAGAACGTCGGATAAATGTACATATGTAATCGGAAATCGAAACACACATTGGTACGTGGCGGGATTCGAACCCAGGACCTGCAGATTGCAAGTCAAGTGCTTGACCCCTGAGTCACCGACGCTCTGACAAAACAAAAACAACAAAACCTAGATAAATAATATTAAAAGCTATTTGTGATTTTATAAGACAATAAAAATACTGTCAACCTTAAGCAAAAAGACTTAGGAAAAAAAATAAAAATACTTGCAATAAAAAAATTGATTGGAAAATAAAATTTTTGAGCACATCTCCAATGACTTAATTGGTTGAGAATGAAAAAAATATGTATAGAAAAGTGCGTGTACGAGGCAAACGTCTAAGATACGTCAGAGAGAACAACGAAACTTGGCAACCAGCCAACATCCCTACGCTCCAGTTTAAATTCATTACTAGTAACAAATGCACGTATTAACAGACCAGATCGAGGAGTACACGCAATTCTGACAAACGATGCTAATCTTGGAGTATCTTGAAATCGGCAAGTTATTTTGTCGAGTTAAAGAGAAGAGCGATGGCCTTGTCGATGAGTTTAGTTAAAAATAACCTAACACAAAGTACGCGTTATACAAAACGCATTTGCTTACTGCAAGGAACTGAAAAGCTTGAACTGCTTTTACTGTTTGTGTTTTACTTTTTAAGTTTCGTTCGCTTATTTTTTATTAGTCTTTCTAAAATCTTATTAAAGAGTTTATCTTTGGAATATATGTATATCCTCTAGCTGCCGCCCACGATTCTGTTCGCGAGGAATCAAAAAAATCTTAAAGCCCGTATGTTCTTCCAGCCTATGTTGTGTGCCTACATGTATGACAAATTCCAGAGAGATCCATGCACAGTATTCTGGAGGAATATTCTAACAAACATCCATCCATCCAAACATTCGTATTTATGAGTGAGATATATCCTTTATTTACATAAAAATATATATGAATTCTCACTTTGTAAGTAAAATTCACTTTTCCTGTTTTATCATACAACATGAAACAAATAAAGTATAAAATACGATGTAGAATATTTATATAACAATGATATATTGTAAACGTGTATTGCGGAACAATATCACCGCAAAGAAGACCACCTACGACTTAATAGGGGCATCCGGCCATTATGAGCGGCTGTCAATGATGTCATCATAGACTAATAACGCTACAATACGATATCTAATCCAACACTATCCTTATATTTCTTGACACAATATTATGGTATTATAGAAATTATTTTCTTCGAAAACCAAATAATTTATCCAAACAGATTTATAAAAACAATTAGCTGTCGCTCGTCGCTCAGTCCGCACAAAATAAAAAACTTAATGAGTACCCTATGTATTCTTCCAGACTTTGTCCTACATATATGCTGAAATTAATCAAGATCCGTTTAGCTGTTTCGTAGATACCTTCAAACAAACATCCATCCATCTAAACATTCGCATTTTTTTTATATTATAAGATGGCAAACGAGCTAACGGTCACAAGAAATCGCTGAAACATCGAAGCAACCTTTGCCCATAGGCATCCGCAATTGCATTTATAATATAAGCAAGATTTATTTTAAAAAATAGCAGGATTAAACACTGCTCCGGTTCACGGAAAAAAAGTATCACGTAATTTTATATTTTAGATGAAAGACCAAAATCAATTTTTTTTTTTTTTTTTTTTTTCCTTTAATTCCACTAACACTTGTACTGTAGATTTTTTATTTTTTTTTTTTATTTATTTATATAAACAAGGAATAAAATACAAATTTACAATAAAAGTGTCTATAAACCCATTGCGGGTTTGTCCAGACACTTTGGTACTACGCTATGAAACGGTAGGTAAGTTACATACTTTTTTTTTTGTTTACAGCAAATTGGTGAGCTCGCTCATACCGTCATATACAGGATGCACAAACGCGTTATAATTTTATTAGACTTAGGATTTTAGATAATGATTTTTAAGTATATTTTTTTGTTTTTGTTGTTTATATTATTTTTTATATCAGTAGGTAAATTATTTATTAATGTTGGAATTATATATTCTGACGTACGCTTACCATAGACGTTGATATAATCAGGGGTCGACAATTTTTTATTTGTTACGCTCCTAGTTGTAAGTTTATGATCAATTGGGATTTGAATTTCAGTCCGAAAATATTGTTCTACTAATAAGTTATATTCTACTTTTTTATGTATTGGAATTACTTTACAATGTTTAAATAGTTTTAGAGGATCTTTGGAACAATTCTCTTTTATTTTAGCAGGTGTTATTAGCTTTAGAATTTTATATTGTATGTTATAAATTTGATTTAGGTATGTTTTATAAGTTCGTCCGTAGCTACTTAGTCCGTATGATATTATACTATCTACTAGCGCCGTATACATAGTGATCAGAACATTGAAAGGAATTCTACCTTTAATTATATAAAATTTTGCCATAATTGCTCTTAGCTTATCACACGTCTTATTTATATGCTGCGACCAACTGAACCTATCGTCTATAACTAGACCAAGATATTTATGCTGACGGACCTGTTCAAGAGGCACACAGTTAGATGTGCACTTTCCATTGTGGAGACACGTGTGACTGTGTGCTAGAATTTTGATAGTTTTATTTGGAGAGGATCGATTGTGGCTCGAACGTACATGAATAAATTTAGTTTTGTCAGCGTTAAGTACTAAACCAGCATCATGAGACCATTTACAAAGAGCTTCAAAGTCAGATTGTATTTGGCGTTCGGCCACTGCGATGTCTCTGTCGGCAGCCATCAGACAAGTATCATCCGCAAACTGATACACAATGCAATTTTTGATTACCATGGTGATGTCGTTAACATAGGTTAGATAATGAAGCGGACCAATGACCGAACCTTGGGCCGTTCCTAAAGTAACGGGTACACTATCACTGTACGATGACCCAACTTTAACTTGGTAGCTTCGATCCTTAAAATAATTTTTACACCATTCTAGCAGTTTCCCCCTAATACCATTATTATCTAGTTTTTCAATTAACAAATTGTGTTTAAGCATGTCGAAGGCTTTACTATAGTCAATAAATACTAAAATAACATGTTTTTTTGAATTAAGGCAAGCATTAACATCATCGGTGAATTTAGATAATAAGAGAGTAGTACTTTTTCCAACTTGAAAGCCATATTGCTTCTCCGAGAGAACTTTGTGAGATCTGTAGAATTGTTGGATTATTCCGCTGATATATTTTTCAACAATTTTATCAACTACCGGTAATATAGTAATAGGACGATATTGGTCATAATGCAGAGCACTGCCTCCTTTGTGAATAGGTCGTACGATACCAGTTTTTAAATCTTTAGGATAAACGCTCGTACGGATACTGACGTTAATTAACCGGGTGATCACGCTTACAATTTTATCCGACAATTTCATAATATCCACTGCTCGAAGTCCATCAACACCTGGGGCTTTGTTAGGGTTTAGGTTTTTAATTATCTTTCTAATGTCTCCGTCTTTAGCTTTTTTAAAGAAAATTGATTTGTCAAGAGGCCTCAAATACTCGGATTCGTTTAAGATTTTAATGTTACATTTTGGAACTAACCTTTGTACATTATTTTTAAACTCGTGTGCGAATTTATCAGCAATATTTTTGTCCGTGCCGTCTCTTCTAAACGCTTTAGTTATTACATCATACAATGAAAACTAACAAAGAGTAACATAATAACAAAGAGTAAAAACAATATGAATGACTTCGCTAATCTAAATATAACAAAACATGCACTATATTCCACTATTAATATAAGGCTTGCTGCACACGTACTGTTTGTAATCGTCCCAAAAAAAAACTGTAGGGCGTTAGCCTAAGGAAGGTAAAGTGGCCCTAGTGTGTGACTCAAACTGTATTTCGGGTTATCCCCATCAATATAAGCAATTACTATTTTATTTCATAAATCAATTTTTAATCTGCAATCGTAACATATGTCCTTCCATTTTTAGTATCGAGGGTATGGATTTTCGATTACGAGGTTGCGGGTTCGAATCCCGCCATTCGACTATTGTCGTAAACTATGTCTTAGTACAAGCATAGAGCTTAGTTGGAATGGTAAAAGAAATATTAGTAAATGTTCAATTAATTCACATATATTATTTATTGTTTTTGTTTCATTCTTATTAATTTCTTTTTGTATTGGCAACATTCAAATTATTATAAACTTTTTTCCTGTGCTGGCAACAATTGTTCATTGTACATTTGTTGGATATAAGTGTGCTACCGGAACGCGCGCTATTTTTATTAGCTAAGTAACTATTCAATAAATAGTTCATAAACCACATGACCACTTGTTTAATTATACAGTAAATAAAATCTGCTAATAATTAAAACAAAAATATATATAAATATATATGCAACCATAACATATCTTTGAATTTTTATTATCAAGTAAACACCTGATTATCATATCATTATCATTGTACACATATGGTAAGAAAAAACATCATAAAGATAATCTACCCAAAGGTTGCCAATCTGCCACTATTTTTATTTTATCTTATCCGAACAAACAGTTTATCAATTTATTATTCAAGTGGTTGTATGGAGACAATGAATTTTACAATCATAGGGAAAAATAAAAAAAAATAAACATACTGATATTATAAATGTGAATGTTTAGATGGATGTTTGTTTTAAAGTATCTCCAGAACTGCCAAATGGATCTCGATGAAATTTTGCATACATATAGAAAATAGTTGGGAAGAGAGCACAAAGGCTACTAATTTATTTTTTAATTTCGCGCAGACGGAGTCACGGGCGACAGCTACTTTTGATTATAAAAATCATAAGAGTAACAAAGCATAATTAAAATGAATATTTAAATATTATCAGTTGCTTTTTCAATGAAAAAGGAAACATTAACATTTTAAAATTAAATAAAATTTATCAGTAATCTAATACAAAAAAGGCTTTAAAAATTAATTTTGTATGTATTTATTCTTGGTATTGTAAATACAAAACCTTGGCAAATAATTTTTAGAATTCAACAATGCTAAAATTGATGTCACCTGACTGATCTTTACATTTCCATTCCGTAGTAAAATGTCCAGTAAACAATGGCTTGACAGATTATGAAGATTGGTGTATCATGTGATACATAAAATATTTATTATAGTGGCTATTATCATGAGAAGAAATACGGATGGGGGGTGTTCAACTACCATTAATGTTCTAATTCAAAGTTGTTTTTATATGTATTATACATTTTTTTAATTCTCTAGAAGAGTCAGTTCTCCTACTATCTGTCTTTGTATTTCAAAATTTTTTTAAGATCAACAATTACCAAAGTTAAGTTTAAGAAACTCATAATTAAGATTATCTATGTACATAAAATTATAATAATTTCCATTGTATGCTAAATTTACAAAAGATACTAAAACAATTTGGAGTAAATTAGAAAATTAAATAACCTTGTGAAATTATATAGACTACCATTTATTTTAAATATTAAACACATTGTTGCGATAGTGCATGAAAGTTTGTTTAGGATACCCACAAAATCAATTAACCGCTATGAAACTGTCTTAAATTATATTTGTTAATAAAGAAAGAATAATATTTACCAAGTCTTTTTTATGGTCAATATGCCTTTAGGAGCTTTTTTCTTTCCTGCATCATTAATTATTGAAAAACGGTCACTGAAACTTCTCTTTAACTCGGTAACAGTCTTTAATCGCTCTCTGGATGATAACCTTAATGACTTGCCACCTGACCTTCGTAATTCCACTTCTTCGCTTAGACTTTCAGCACTAGTTCCTGAATTTATAGACACTCTCTTTGAATTCTTCTTAGATTTCAAAGCTATGTTCGCTTCAGAAAGATCACTTTCACTCAGTTCACGGCTCTTGTTATATCCTCGTTCGATGGCGTTACCAAAACCTTCTACGAAACATAGCATAATGTCTCCTGAATATGACTGCTTCATTTAGAAGGTCATGCCCGCTTTTGATTGACTCGATAGCCACGCGCAAGTAGACTTCACACTATAACTTCAAACGATGTAGGAAAGTAACTCTAATATTAAATGTTCATTGTCGCCCTTGACAACATTTTGATTCATTATAAATTTTAGTTTCACTTTACTTTTTAGCACTAGAAAAAGACAACCAACTAAATATTTAGCACCTCTTAAAACTTTCTGATAAAGTAAATGTAAAGTTTGTTAATAAATACGAGAAAAAAAACCACTAATCACTTTAAAATTTCGATTTATAAAAGTTTTTATACTAAGAAAAATTCAATTTCACTAACAAATAAATATCTACTATGACTAATGACAGTTCTCTAACGTTTAGTAATCGGTATCTATTCCGTTCGAAAACACTTGTTTGACTTTCAACAGCCGTTTCAGAACTGCGTCAACTGAGAGCGAATGACAGACTGGCTGGCCGAATCACCTCACTCGCCTCGATCTGCCGCTTAAACCAAGCAACACGACCGCGGTAAAATGACCTTAATATGTAATTTGTTTATTATTTATTCAGAGGAAAACAATAATAACAAGGCTTACTTTTAGTATACATTTTAACAATTATTACTAAACAAATTTTTATTTACATTAGCGAAATGAATGTGCAAAAAACATTTAAAACACGTTACACTACTGCAGATTTATTACTAAATTAGATTTAAGTATATTTGTAATTTTACTTTTATTCGATGTTTTAAATACACGAGTCAACTTCAAAAGTGTAAGGGAATTGAATGCATGCAGAAAATCAATACGACTAATGAAATGAAACCTACGGGATCACCTGGGTTACCTGCGGGACAAACAAGGGTACATTTGTATAGAATATGGGAAGAGTTGTGTATATTTAGTCCTATACGCATTGGTTCCGTTTATCACAAACACTTCCAGGAATTACGCTACAAGTATCAAGATGCCAAACACCACTCTCACAAAGATCCGGGAAATTTTCGTACACGTGACACATCTGTGATGTAAATTACTTTGTAAAAATATTTATCCTGTGTTCGGAACAGTTTCTTTATTTTTTATCTATTTTTTTCTTAGATACTGAGATTGATGACGTTACTTTTTTTACATACAGGTATTTCGGTAGTGGAAATTCACAGATAATAATTCTGTCGTCCCCGACTTCGTCAGCACAGAAAAAAAGCCGAACAGACAAAAATTGGTTTTTCTTTATGTACAAAATATATTTTTTCTATATACTGTATGAATGGAGTTGTCGTAAGATATATAAAAAAATATATTTATTTTTTTATATATCTTATTTTGTTGCTATGACATTGAATAAATATTATTCGGAATCGAATTTTTTCTGTGTTATTTTACAAAAAGATTCGCAAATTTATGAAAGGTTTATTGTTTTAGGTTATATATATAATTATCCTATGAATCCAAGGTGGTATATTAATAATGTAATCTAACTTTATCAATATATTTTTTACAATTCAGACCAGTGATGATATTTTTTTAAATACCTTCAGATTATCGTGATGACTGAATGAATGATAAAAAGTTTTAAAGCAGCTGTATCTGTTTTTCGATAAAACGAACAAATACATTTTTATTTACCAGACCACAGATAAACTACAACAGTGTATCAGATATTTTTATTCCACACCTGGTTATCTTCAATATGGCATGTTGATCATGCCACTATCTGTCGAATGTTAGCGAGATTTAATGCGCATTAGTTATTCGAATTTTATGATACTAAGTTATACTAATTTATATACTAACTGTGACCCTCGACTCCGTCCACGCGGAATTAAAAAAAATAATAGCCTCTGTGTTCTGACAGATGCTCTACATCTATACCAAATTTTAACGTGATCCATACAACCGTTCTGAAGATATCTAATAAATATCCATCTATTCATACGTTTGGACATTATTAATTAGAATCCTTTTAGCGCGAATGGCGCGCTTTCATTACAAAGTGAAGTGTCATAATGATTAGTGAGGGAACATAAACGTCGACATTATAGTAAGGCTATTGTTGCGCCAGTACACCGGCACGTGTCGGATTTTCTTCCTAACAATACATAGTAACATTCGCATTTATAATATTAGTAAGAAGTAATATATACGTTTGATTTATTTTTTTTTCAAACATTTTATTAAGGAAGGCTATACAAAAATTTATCGCTATTAAATCTTAGAATGGATTAATTTAAATAAAAAATTATTAGATAAGCAAAAATAGATCGAGATTATTGGGTTTTGCGGGAAGATGTGTTCCAGTTTACATAAGCAAGTTCATGGCACAAATGATTCGCGGATCTAAAAATGTTTTTGTTTCAAACTATTAAATAGAAGATCTATTTTAAAAAACAATCAGCGCTCAGTTCATTTCTAAAATTAGATTTGAGCAAAAGAACTAAAGCTGTTCACGCGTCGAAGATTTCAATTAACATTGACTCACGAACGAAATTCAGTGACAATGATTTAATGAAAAGATCTATATTTTTCCTAACCTTGAATAGGAAAAATTGAGTCAATTGTTAACGTATCTGTACTATAAATCATACTGTGGGTTTACACCGCCGAAAGATTTGTACATAAACATTTGTGTTTTCTTTTGAAAGCAGTGATAATATTTATGAATGCTTTGAAATGGAATTTGACAGTAAAATTCAGTATTGAACTATTGTAGATTACTCATGTATGTAATTAAGACTTCGAGAAATAACAATGCGTAAAATTTAACTGTTTTTAATTCTTAAACCAATTCAATATTACATCACGTGCTTTGAATACTGAAATAGAGAAGATAAGAAAGATTTTAACGTTGTAAGAAAAGATATTATAATATATTATTTTCAAGTCTACGCGTAATAGTATTATAATAATACTAAGAGTTACGAGTAATAGTATAATAATATAGACGTAAATTATGTAAAAACGAAAGTTAAATAATTGTCAAACTTGTAGAGGCTAAAAACAAGAGTACATTTTTTTACTAGCTCTCGCCTCTCGTTTAGCCTAAAAAAACTCTAACAAGTGGCCTATGTGTTTTTCCGGACTATGTTCTACATCTAAGCCAAATTTCAGCAAGATCTGTGCAACCGTTCTGAAGATACCTTCAAACAAACATCCATCGAAACATTCGCATTTATAACATTACTAAGATTTTTATATTTGACTTTATTTACTTTTACTTTTTACAGAGAAAAGGTGTGCTTAATTCTAGAAATAGTTTAAAAATTAAACGTCAATAAATGTACAATATTTTAAGATAAAATGGATTCGTATAGAATACTAGTTTTCTATGAAAATAAACGATTGCAGCTTGCACGGTACGGTACGTAAATAATTTGGGCAACGTACTAAAACTCAAATCTAGATCAGGTTATGAGGTCACATCGCGATTGTATTTTTGGTTTTTATGAAATTTGGTTTAATCCTAACTCTACAATTCACATGGAAATATTTTTTTTAGGAATTTGGAAAACGTTTAACGTATTTTATTCGCTGAGAGATTCAATCCGTTATAAGTCAGCTGTTGAAATATAAAAAACATATAATAACATGTTTTGTTTCAGGATAGACCCAAAAGAGTTATTATTCTAATACTAGCTGGCAGCTCGCGACTCAGCGCGGTATTAAAAAAAACTTAATTAGTACCCTAATTTATTCTACCGTACAATGCTCTACATCTATGCCAAATTTCAGCGAGATCCGGCAGCTGTTCTAGAGATACCTAACAAACATCCATCCGTTCGTTTATTCGTATTTACAATGTTAGTAAGATATCACGCCATTTCTGTCTCCAATGTACAAGGATAATTTATGTTGTTTTATGTATTATCGATGTAAATAAAATATTTATTCTCTCACGACGGCTATGTCGTGACCAATCAAATCGTTCGATGGTTGTAAATACTGGCTGTAAACTGTTTTGTAACTTCCACTGCTTTTTGTCATAAAAAAAGAAAAACTCAATACACACAGACATGAAAATAAGGAAATCCGCAATCTCAGAACAGCAACGCTGCTATCCGCTTTTCTTAGAAGTTATTATCTTACTAATATAAATGCGAAAGTTTAGATGGCTGGATGTTTGTTAGAATATATCCAGAACGGCTCAACAGATTTGGTACAAATTTGGCATAGCTATAAAATATAATCTAAAAGAACACATAGGTTTTTTTAATTTCTTTAAATGCGCTTTTGTGTCGCGACGAATTGAACATTAAGAGTAGAGTAAGAGTGAATTAAAGAATTGCAAGTGCCTTACCGGCGTCTCCATGAGAATGATTCTGGGGAAATGCTACGCCTGCCGTTGATCCAAGCTCGTCTAATACTAGCTAGAGGGAGGCTGTCTCGTCTTATTGACCATCGAACCTTCGCGCCACCAAAAGTATTCTTTTTATCCATAATATAAAACCCGACATATAACTTTCTACAGTGACGTTTCAGAAATATCGACTCAAAATTATTATAATAAAAAACAAGATGAAAACTCTTTAAGATAAGTGAAAACACGAGACTAACTTCCCTCCAATCTTATCACGAACACGTTATTATATTTACATTACAAAAGATACTGAAACGGTACAGTCACGTACACAGTTTTGTCTACATTTTATAGCTTGGCCCAAAATCTTAAGCTGACTGTACGGCTATAGATATTGCGAATTTAACAGTTATAATTTTTTTTCCTATATTACATACATACACTGCAGATTTTATTTATATGTATGTGTAGATGATGAGCGATGATCTGCAGGTCCTGGTTTAGAATCCCGCCATGTAAGAATGTGTTTTTCAATTTCCGATTTACATATGTACATGTATCTGACATTCTTACGGTGAAAGAAAACATGGTGATGCAACCTGCACATATCTGAGAAGAAATTCAAAGATATTTGTGAAGTCAACCAACCCGCACTGGGCCAGCGTGGCTGACTATGGTCTTATCGCACCTGACTTAGGGTAGGCTCCGAGCCCCTCGGTGCGAACGTATAGTGAGCTGATGTATATATATCTTATATATAAAATTCTTGTGTCACAATTTTCGTTCCCATACTCCCGCGAAACGGCTTGACCGATTCTCATGAAATTTTGTGAGCATATTGAGTAGGTCTGGGAATCGGCCAACATCTATTTTTAATCACGCGCGGACGGAGTCGCGGGCGACAGCTAGTATATATATATAGTATAGATGATCCAAAATCGACCATGTTCTAATAAACGTAAAACGATATTGAATAATAATTCCCTATTGATCTGCTTTATGTACATTTATTTATTTTTCATTACATCCTGATTATATTTAAACGTGTATTAAATTGTGAAATTCTAATGGACGGTAAATATCATATGAACATATTGTACAATACAATGTACAATTTCCTCTGTCATTTGCGATCAGCAATTATTAACCTTGAATCACATGAAATGCGTCGCGAGTAATTTTCTGTTTCCCGCCATTTGTTTTTACTCGTTAACATTAGTAATACATACAACTGCAACTACATTTTTAAAAGCATAGTAGAATATGATGCGCCAGAATTTAAGTTTCCTTAGCTTATATCTTTATAAGCATTCATTCGCATATCTGCGAAGAAATTCAAAGATATGTGTAAAGTCAACCCACCAATACGGCCCAATGGCCAGCGTGGTTGACTATGGTCTACTAAGGGTGGCTCCGAGCCCCGCACTGGGGACCTATAGTGAGGTGATTATATTGTTTTCTAGTATAAACACCTTCGTATCGTCAATGTCTTGAGAATTTTGGTTTTAGGTGATAGGGTACATAACTTTTGATGATGACGATGGCGTTTGTCACAAATATTCGTGCTAGGCACACTGATGATGCTAGTGGTAAGAGAGACTCACTGTCCGTGGTAGTGAGGTGTTGGCACACGCAAGTGGTGTCTGCGCGGTCGCTCGGCGTCGCTGTCGCTGGCCTCTTCGAGCCCGAGCGCGCTCGTCGAGCCGCTCGCCGAGCCGCCCACCGAGCCGCCCGCCGAACCGCCCGCCGACCTGCCACCAAATCACACGTAAACATAGACTCTAGGTCTTAGTAAATTCACAAACATATATGCGTGCAAATTTTACTCTATCAACATTTTATACGTGTTTATTTAAATATTTACAATAAATAATATTTATTATATTTGTGTATTTTAACATATTATTAATATATGTTAAGTAAGGAAGTGCAAATTGAAAGTTGCATTTTCAAGTTGCAATTCAACATCTAATTAATATATTCCTTTAATATTTTTACGATTATTCACCATTATAATTGTTACGTATGCATCTTACCAAGTACCAACACTGCAAAAAACGATTGCAACTAACTCGTATGTTGGTTTTTTTTTTAGTAGAGATTTAGTAGAGATAAGACAAGTTCATTTTAAATGAAACTAATTTACAAAGTAAAACATAATTTTCGATATAGTACAATTCTCAGTCGATTTAAGAAGCTAACTAACAATACATTGAATCAGAAAAAATAACGGAGCCCTTTGCCCAGCAGTGGGCAATCAAAAGCGTAATGATAAATTTGAAACTACTAAATTATTCTTTAACGAATGATTGCCGTTCAATCATAATACAATTGTTCACCGTCATAAAACATTATATCTGTCTCTATTATTTTAAAGAAAATAAAAGAGATGGCAATATAAGAATAAATTTTACAAGTTAAAGATATAAGTGAAATAGCACACTCAAAACAAAAAAGAATCTAAGCCAAAGACAAGACCTTCAATAGAAGAAGCGATTAAAACACACCGAAAAGAAAAATTTAATCAAATTCGGAAGCGAAGCTTTTTCAATACCTTGGCATAATGTTTCAAAAAGCAGCAAGCAGGAGCTAACTCTGGTCAATAGTCAACTATTGCAATGAACTCGCAATACGCCATGCTGTTTGTTCACCTAGAAATAAGTTTTATGGCTTCTATTAAGCATAATATCTAACGTTAATTTAATTTAAAGATACTATTTTTTTTTCAATGGCAATAATTTCAAGGTGACGTAGATAATTAAGATTTTTTTTTATCGATTTATTGATTGATTTGTGATATAAATTTAATTTAATTTAATTAATTTTGTACCGTATAATGAAATGAACGACTCTTGGTTTAATATTACATTTTAATTATTTAATTTAGATCAAAATCAATTTTAAAATGAAAATAGATTAAAATTACGATGTTATTTTTTTTTTATTTATTTGTATGCTTACCGAAATATTCTCTTGAAGCGACTAATGACTTGAAATTTAATATACACTTCGTCTCCACAATGTTCTATTCACATTTGTTTTGTTCCGTCACCATATGAACACGATTAACAATTAAATGCACCATTATTTCGCATTGTTATTCGTAACACTTATACCAAATGCTTGTTTAAAACTGAGCTAAAACCAGGTGCGAGCTGTAACTTTGAGCAAGATGACCTAGAAGTTTATTAGATTATTGTATAACATACACTTTTTATATATTTTAGATGATCTGCGGCAGGTTTAAATTTGTTCTAACGCGACAACCTTAAGGAGATATCCTTCAAAACATTTTCACATTGTTATAAAAATGTTCACCGATTAAATTAACTACACTGAAATTGTATTTTAATGTAACAAAGGCGAATTCAAATTATACGTGTTATTAAAAATCGAATCAATTTTAGTATTATATAAAGTTTTTTTAACCTGTTATGACATTACTAATAGCCATTTTGTTTTTAATTATAACTAAATTGTCCGTTTTAAACAATTAATTACAAGTAAGACTATTTGCTATTCCTTTTTCCAGGAGCAAAATAATAAAATAAAATACAATATAACATCAATAATTTACACAAGTGCCGTATTTTTTCAATTCACAATGTTATTTTATATCGTAACAACGTATTATTATTTAGAAAACGCGTTAGTTTTGACCATTTAATTGAGAATAAACATAGATAATTTAATTTATACAATGTATTTCTTTTTAATTCACAACACACACAACATTTTACGTTAACACTGTCTCCATGCTTTACATTCTTTGGAGTTGTCATCTGGGTAAATGAAACTTTCGATGTATTTTGATCTCTACTGCACACGATTTTAAAGCTAAATTCCCCTAGACTTATTTCTGTACAGGGAAACATGCGTACTAGTACACTGCGCAAGATATTGATTAGAATCATATGTATGATATAAAAATGGCGGCAATTTAATTTGATTTTACTAATTATTTTCTCTACATTGTTCTGTTATTACAATTCAGCCGTATATTTGCGTTAATAAATCTTGTATTTGACAACTTATCAATTAATATTTATAGTTATATTCCTATTGCCTTTAACATTACAAGGGTAGAAAGGAACACACAAAAATATTTTATTTTATTTACGAAAAACAAACATTTACTTTAGCGTGAGACTGCCAAGTTTTTTATTATATTCCTATTCTTGATTAGGCAATTTATGTTTTAAATTGCACAATGCGGTTAATAGAGGTTACTTCACTGAAACATATGAAACTCTACAAAATTAAAATGCAATAACTCACGTAATACATAGAGATGGTACATCATAGCGACTGGCTCCGTCCAGAACGAACAAGGAGCGATGCTTTCCATGCCCAATGTCCAAATAATTTGAATCTAAAACATTTTATACAAAGAACTCATGATAGAAAAACTAGAGATTAAAATAAACAGTTAAAATTAAGAATGTAAAATTGCTCGAAATTATATGACAAGTAAATTTGTCGTAAAAAGTCTACATATCAGCCTATCGACTTACTTTACTTAGGTTTTCGTCATATTTCAATCTTTGCGATATAAACCTGAACTTGAATAGAAAACTGACTTGAAACTCAGGTACCATCATCGATGCGGTAGCCACAACTGCCCAACATTTTGAGTATGCAAAAAGAGAAAAATAGTAATAGAAAATTCAAAGTTACAACTTGTTTCTTAGTTGAACTGCCAACCTAAACGTGGAACCATAACGGACCATTTCTGTAGTTTATCTGAGTTTCCTTTGGTATCCTAAATTGCGTGTATACTCTATCTTACTAATCAACACCGTCAAACAGGATTAATCTCTTACATTTACAATCTTACATCTCTTATGAGATTTTAAGGATATAATTCTTTACGTCAGCTGGCTTGAAATTAAATACCATGATGTGCGATGTCGCAGAGGCCAGTGTCGGAGACGGAGCGGCCGCGGGTCCACGGCCGCGGTTTGCGACGAAAGTACGCCCAGCGCGCCACCGACTTGCGCACGAGACGGTTAAATCTATATGTATAATTTAAATTAAAATGTCTGCCATAATATGAACGGGGAAAGACCCGACGAAAAGTTACATTCTTGATGGGATCGTTTAAAAAATGTAACTCTTTTCTTCGCATGAGTCGTTTTACCTGTTCTAAGAATTGTTTGTTTTTTAAGCCATGTGCAAATTGAAGAAATTATCAAATACTAACATGATGATAACACAGATTAATTAACATTTGTTTTCTTACTTCGAATTGACGTTACGTAAAGCTTTAACTAACAAAATATGTATGTAGAGTTCCACTTCACACTTCGATCGACAAATATTCTCAACTCCTAGTCGATGACATTTTTATTTTTTAATATTCTTTCATAACGGATGTGTCTTGTAAATGAAATATCACAATTCAACAAGTACTAATCTTTGAACAAACAAATATAACTGGAGATTTATATTAGGCTATTTGATTGTAGCTATCAATTATTAATCCGGACTGTGTAAACAAAATACGCATAATCTTGTTCACACATGAAAATATACCAGCTGATATATGTAGGTATAACGAAACATTATTTATGTTATTTGCTTTATGCTTACGTCGTTCGTAAAGTACTAGCTGTCGCCCGCGACTCTGTCCGCGCGGAATTACAAAAAAGTTAGGAGCCTATGTGTTCCTCCAGGCTATATTCTACTTCTATGCCAAATTTCAGCGAGATCCATGCAGCCATTCTGGAGATAATTTCAAACAAACATCCATCCAAACATTCGCATTTCTTTTTCTCTCTTCTCTCAAGATCATATTTCAAACTTAATGGCAACAGAATTACAATTTGTTTATTAAAAATCATAGTATTAATAGATTTCTGTAAAAAGAAATGTTTATAAAAAATATAAATAATAATTGAACTACGATTGAAAACATAAAACGCACCTTTTCAATGGAGTGTCCGAATCTGAGGAACTGGATAAATTTGATGTATCACTGCAACTAGATGTGAGGTTATATATTTTAAAATCACTTTTAACTGGTTTTTTCATTATAAAAAATAAACACAGAAATATTACTAGGTTATAAAAGTACGGAGTTATGACATGTCTTTTAACAACGTATAGAATATACGTGTACCAGAATTTTGTCACTCGAATCTAAATTAAACTTATTCGTTAGCGTTTCGCCGCTTCGCTCTCGCGGAACTGTTCATTAGTCAAAATACGAGTTTACAAAAGAAGTAGACCTTTCTTAAACTGTTACTTTTTATTATATCCTTGAACTATATTAATACATAAATTTTATAAATAAAATAACAAGTAAATGTTGTTTTCAATATAATTTCGTTTGTAGGAAATACTGAGTATACATTTTTATAAAGGCTGTAAAAGTTTCGTTAACTACCTACAAAAGGATTTTTTTCAATATAGGTGTTCAAATAAAAATAAAGAAAAACAATACAAGAAATGTCTATATTTTGTTTATGCAATAATATTAAAAATCTTTATTTTTTATATTTTTAGTATTAGTAATAACATCTCAAGTAAAGGGATGCTTCATTGACTTTTTTTACAATTGTAAAGCCGGCGACACACGTTCAATTTTAACTGTGTCGATGTGGTCAATTTAGACTGAACGTATGTATAAGTGTAGGTTCACACTTCTATAATATTTATACAAAAAGTATCTTTATCGTTAAGAACGTAACAAATTCAACGGGTTTTTGAAATAAAATACGTTATTTTGAATTAATATATTTATTTTAAAAAAACATTTATAATTCCATAATCCTAACCTACTTTAAATTAAGTAAAGAGTTTTATTCTTGATTTAAATTAATTTTATTATCAAGAAAAACTTAATTTCAATATACATACCGTAAAAATACATCCTTTTTAATATAAAGAATGTTACAACATGCTTATTCTTACCGTGGGTTTTCATTGCCGAAAAACTTGGACAGCATATTGTCTTCTCTGTTTATTCCATTGATAATAAGAGAGATGGCAATATTATTTTATAAAAATGTTTCTGTGAAAACGCAGAGTAAAACTAAAGGAAATAGGGAATTTCCATAATTGAGTCTGTCACTTATATATCTATATATATAAAACATTTTTTGTTTATTTTTTTCTTACTGCTATAAAATGATCTGCCGCCATTTTTAAAGGGTTTTTTCTTTTAGAGCACAACCACCGAAGATCTCCGCAGTTTAATAGTATGGTCGCCTTGGATTATTCTGTAACATTGGTAAATTATGATAAAACTAGCTGTCGCCTGCGACTCCGTCCGCGCGGGATTAAAAAATAGCCAATGTGTTCTTTCAGACTATTTTATACATCTACACCAAATTTCATCAAGATCTGTTGAGCTGTTCCGGAGGAGACCTTCAAACAAACATCCATCCATCCATATAAACTTTCGCATTTATAACATTTGTAAGATATTATTGTTTAGGAAAACAAATAGTGGTTAGGTTACTGATCGTTGGTTTCTGAGACCATGTCATTATCTTTGACAAAACATAGGTAATGTAAAGGTAACATAATGTTTTAAACGGGGTTTTTAGTCTCAGAAACCCACGATAAGCCGTACCAATTAGATTTTTTCTCTTTCAATACAATGAACACCAATTTATAATCGTTGATGTCACGAAAATGACACTGTCAAGATGACATTGTTAGTTCACACATATTCTGATTGAAGTAAAAAATTGCCTAGTTAAATTACAAACAGGCGATTTTCACAAACGTTCGGTGACAACCAATACTCACGAGCGGGTTAGGTCTAAACCTGTAGGCGAGCATCATCCGTTTCCTGTAGGCGTCAAATTCGTCATCCTCTGAATTCACCACTTCCGCTGCCGCCGCGCCTAAACCCAAGTTGGCTACCGGCTGTGGCGCCCTACACAAGAACAATACAAAAATCCATAAAAAAAAAGTCCAACTGTCTTGTATCTTATGTCACTCACAAGTAAAATATTGTAATGACACCTCACACTTGAAAGTCAAGTCATATAGGTTAAATGAAGTAACATATAGTACAAAACATTTGATTTGGCACGTCAACAGCATGAGTTCTTTTCTGCATGACGTGCCATCTTAAGTGCCGCGACAAACATAGAAGCTGATTTGATACTAACTTATTGATAGGTTCAACAATACCAGCTCCCTCAGCTCCGAGACCTTGACCTTCATTCCAGCCAAGTTTCTGCAGCATCTTGAAACCTGGACAGAAATAATGAAAATTATTATCTTTAGAATATCCAATTTAAATAAACTTAATATTCAAAGTATAACTTACCAATATTATCTTCTTTCAGTTTGAACTCTTTGTAATCGCTCAAATCTGGCTCCTTTCCACTCTTGATAGCTGAATACTTCTCCATAAATCTGCAATAATATATCTTATATATTAAATTTTCGTGTCACAATTTTCGTTCCCAAGCTCCTCCGAAACTGCTTGACCGATTCTCATGAAATTTTGTGAGCATATTGAGTAGGTCTGAAAATCGGCCAACATCTATTTTTAATCCCACGCCGACGGAGTCGCGGGCGACACCTAGTAAAATATAAAGGTATATAATGAATTGGAAGAAAGCGAGAAAGGGACATGTTTGTGGATGGAAAAACCATATTTTTATATTTTTGTCTGTCTCTGCAAGGCCACATTTGTACCTCGTTATCTTGGGAATGGCTGAACCGATTTTGACGGGATCTGGACAGCATGTGGACATATTTTAGGCTACTTTTTTTTAAATTCTGCACTGACGTAGTCGGACCGCTAGTATTTAGTATTTTAACTTACTTCCTGAGCTCTTCAGGTGGTAAGAAATCGCCGATGTGATGTTTGCCGGCCGCCTGCTTCGTCAGTTCCGTCGCCCATTTCTCTGTCGCACACATTTCCTTTGCTCTTAACCTGAAATATATTACCAATACTCATATTAAAAAACAGCTGGATGGATGGATGTTTGTTTGAAGGTATCTCCAGAACAGCTGCATGGGTCTTGCTGTATTTGCCATAAGTATAGAGGATATTCTGGAAGAACAGATAGGATACTAATTAAGTTTTTTTTCTTATTCCGGTCGGACAGAGTTGGGGTCGATAGGTAGTGACTCATAAATAATGCCCTATCTAACTGCTCGAATCGAGTTACTATTCTTTTACTAAACCAGTAGAATAAATGATTACCTTGTTGATTATTACGACTCAAAAAAATATATTAACCTGTGTTCCCATGTGCCTTCAGATGTATCTTCGTCACTGTCATATTCATATTTGTGTTTGCCAGCAGCCGCTAGACGATCCACTTCTTGTCTTTTCTTTAACATGTCCTTAAAAACAATAATAAAATATTTTATAAAAATCTTATTAATATTACAATGCTATAAATACGAATGTTTAGATGGATAGATGTTTGTTATTAGGTATTTCCCGAACAGCTAAATGGATCCAGCTGATATTTGACATAAATGTAGAACACAGTCTAAAACTACAGACTACTTATTATTTTTTTTTAATTCATGTCTGGCGATAGCTAGTAACAAAGAAAATTACACAACAGTAGCTTTGAAAAATGAATAAGTCAACTTACTTGATATAGGAGGTTAAGTTTGAAGTTGTCTTCGCACTTCTTCCAGTCATCCACACTGAGGCTGGTCGTGCCATAGTTTGTCATCGCGTACTGCATCAGTGCGGGATTGTTGCGGTGAATGTTGGTCAACTTCATACCTTCCTCATCTATTTTAGCTAACTTCGCACCTAAAATTGTCATTAAAAATATAATAATTATTATTTGGAAGACAAATATTACCTAATTAAATGATTATTTCAACATCTTTACTAAAATATTGACATTTTTTCTTGAAAATTGTATTTGGAATTATTATATCCCACCTGGCAACATTGGGGGTAGAGGGGGGGCAACACCGGGAGGCTTGATGTCGGCAGGAGGATCCTCCCCCCACCGGGATTTCCTTTTCCTCTCCCTCCTGCGAGCCTCCGCCTCTTTAGAATTAGGGTCGTCATCATCTTCTTTTAAATCTCTGTTGTATACAAAAACATAGTTAACAAAAACATAAAAAAATATATATTTTATTTAATTTGGATAATTAGATTTTTTTGACTTACCCATCACATGCCTCTTGTTTAATAGGCTTGCTTTCATCATAACTATCATCATCCTCCAAACAGAACTCTGGTTCATATCTGTCTTCGGGTTTCACTTGGCTCTTGTCATCAACACCATCCTTCCGATGTTTCATCACCAACTCACGAAACGCCTTGTACTCATTAGAATTCGTACTATGTAGGAACCTGTAATTATTCCACAGTTCATCTATTTATAAACCAAAAATAACATCAAGGATGACTTAAATAGGTTTTTTAACCTAATAAAAGTTGAACCAGTGTTACTATAATACTATCATAAAATTATTTTATCATATGTTTAATTTTTTTGGCAGCAACGGTAATTATTGTATGGTGACGATAACTTACAAACACTGGTTTAATTTTTAAAAAATGATTATAAATATAAAATGAAATACAGTATCCCTCCGGTATGGACTATAAGTGGGTGGTATTCTGCATTACCACAAATTTTGGTCTTGTGTATGCATTGCTTTCAGGACATTTTCCCAATGGTCGCCGTTGCTGGCGACCTCAGCTGCGGCGCGCTGCGCGGACGGCGGGAGCACATCTGCAGAGAGAACTGCACACCACGAGTCAGCAACTAACATCATTCACTCCCGCACATACTCAAACAAACCACTGCACTTCTACACACTAAATGTCACACAAGATCTAGGATGCTTAATATTCAAATAATAATAATAATATTTTTAATATTATAACAACAATTTCTTTATATTTGATACATAGAAAGTTATACTCATTCAGGTATAGATAAGTTATAAGTAACTAGCAGTTGCCCGAGACTTTGTCCGAGCGGAATTAATACATATGTATTAACAACAGCATATGCCATCCAGGGATACTGTTACCCAACAGTGTCATTTTTCAAATTGGTTCAGTACTTTTGGAGCCAATCTTTATGATATAAGTGAAGTATAGATTTCTAACTTTTTTCTTTTGAGTTTAACAAAGTAATAATCAAATATTTATTGCTATTTA